AGGAATACTGGGATTTTAGGGCGCTTCGCGTCCATCTTCTTTTTTAATTTGTGAACTCTTTGTAAACATTGTAAAACAAACGAAAAAAATTTCGCGGATTAAAAAAAAATTCGTGGATTTTTGAAATTTTCGATAATCGAATTTTTTTAAGAGGCAAATTTTCAAAAATTCGATTCTCATAAACCTTTCCTGGGGTCACGCGAGATACCACAAAAAATGTGGGCCCGATCGGTTCAGCCGTTTTGACGTTTATTAGCTACAAGCAGACAAACAAACGGACAGACAAGCAAAGTATATATATATAGATGACATGCTATATAACTAGTATCTTTTATTTAAATTGTTTTCCATTTCGACCAGCCATTAACCTTTCCTTGAATCATGTGAGTTGCCACAACAAAAATTGGGCCCAATTGGTTTAGTTGTTTGTTGGATGCAAACAAACCATAGTAATCTTCGGATCATTTCTGACTTTTAAGCAGCTAATTCAAACTGTATAGAAATACAGACCATAAAAGGCAATACAGGACAGTACAGCCAATGAATCCGCCTCTTCTAGGGAGATTCTATATCTAGTGAAACGGACTGACAATTGTCACTGTGACTTGACATCTGCAAATGGGTTGAAATTTTAAACTACCTGCATTTCATTTTCAGAGATGATGAAAAACAAGGCTTGGTGTGATTAGATTATCTCTTAGCTCTTCTCTGTGTGTATATCTATACTCCTAGATCAGGTTCCAGACCTAATTTTAGTTCTAGGATCTATCAGTGGTTTCTACCATACCAGGAGGACAACAAATATTCCTAAAACTTTTTTTGAAAAATACCCCCCCCCCCCTTCTTATACTACTAACAGGTATAGCTAGGAGGGAATGTATAAACCTTTTCTTATTATCTATTAACTAAAAAGGATGATTTCCAAGAAATAAAAAAAGGATTTTTTCCCCCTTATTTTATTACTTTCATAATCATGGCTGCATCACTAAATGGAATAGTATTAATTAATGAAAAAAATGGAAGCATAGATGCAAGAATTGCCCATCAAAGAACATGACGTCAATGATGATCAAATTAAAATGTTTAGAAATAACTAACACACAAATAATTTAGTCTTGTGCTTCATAAATGGTCTTTTAAAATGATTTAGCATAGACAAAATCAGGTTTACAGGTGTAGGAATTCATGATGTAAAAAAACTATTTCCTTGCAGTCGTCTTTTAAATCTCTTCCGTTGCGGTTCACCTTGTATAAATATAAAGATAGAAAGTGTAGGTTTTCTAAAAGAATTTCTAGTAATTTGTTCCCGGTATGAATATTGATAGAGATAGAATCTAGGGAATTTGCATTGAAATTGGAGGATCTAGGGACACAAATAGATAGATAGATAGATAGAAACACAGATAGATATATAGATAGATAGATAGAAACACAGATAGATAGATAGATAGATAGAAACACAGATATATAAATGAACAGACATATACATAGATAGATGAATAGATATAAAGGTAGCTAGATGGATGAACAGATAGATAGATAGATGGATAGATAGATAGATAGATGGATTGATAAATAAACAGATAGATAGATAGAAAGATGAACAGATATATGAACACATAGGCAGATAGATAGACAGATGAATAGATAGATATATAGATAAATAAACAGATAGGCAGATAGATAGATAAATAGATTGATAGATGGATAGATAGATGGATAGATAGATAAATGAAAAGATGAATAGATGGAAAGATAAATGAATACATAAACAGAAAAATAGATAATTTGTCATAAATATCGGTTTACAGGATATTCTGTAAACCTGCAGTACGTTGTACATTACTCTATTCTTTAACAAATACAGCAAACCCCATATTTATTAACCTGAATATATTGAGCATGAGCTACGTAATATGATTAAAACATGTATTGTAATGAGATTAGCTACGATTATATCTATCCGTGTTAATCTTTTAAATATGTACATTCAATTTAAACTACGCTGTAAACATGTGTTGAGATAGCTTAACTACGGTATATCTATCCTGGCTAATCTTTTAAATATATAACATGATTGTCTTAATCATGAAATATAGATGACGACGTAAGAATTGTAATTACTACGTCTATTAACTTTAACTTGTAACATATAAACCTCAAATACAGTTAGTCAGAATTAGAACTCTGCTTTGATTACAGTGTTGAGTAATTGTACCCTTGTCGAAACATACGGGTTGAGATCATACCATAGTATATTGTAGAGATCAATAAAGGGCTTGTTTGATAGCAATGCTTGTGTCTCTGTGTGACATGTAGAGCCTTGATTACGGGTCTATTTGATAGCTACACTTGTGTCACTGTGTGGCATTTAGAGTCTCTGTAATAGCTTGTTTAATAGCTATACTTTTGTCCCTGCAGTGTGGCATTTAGAGCCTAAGTAATATCCTGAGTAAAAGGTACGCTTTTGTTCCTGAGTGGCATTAGAGCCTGAGTAATAACTTGTTTAATAGCTATACTTGTGTCCCTGTGTGGAATTTAGAGCCTGAGTAAAAGATACCGAGATCTTGCCCAGAGGTAGTGGCGTTGATAGTTCACGGGATTGTAGCCTGGTGAATTTTGTCCTTGGATAGCGGACACGTTGTACCTGGACTGATTCAGTTTGGGACGAAGTTTTAAGAGTATGGCATTTACTACTAGTAATAGAAACATTAAAATATAGAGATGTGGTTTTACTTAGTCGACTATGCTACATTACTGGTACAACTTTGTGACCTCGTAGATCCTCAAGTTTAGATTTTACACGACTTTGTGACCTTGTAGCTCCTCTAGTTTTGATTTTACACGACTTTGTGACCTTGTAGCTCTTCTAGTTTTGATTTTATACGACTTTGTGACCTTGTAGCTCCTCAAGTTTAGATTTTACACGACTTTGTGACCTTGTAGCTCCTCTAGTTTTGATTTTACACGACTTTGTGACCTTGTAGCTCCTCTAGTTTTGATTTTACACGACTTTGTGACCTTGTAGCTCCTCTAGTTTTGATTTTACACGACTTTGTGACCTCGTAGTTCCTCTAGTTTTGATTTTATGCACAAGTAAGTCTACGTTGTCGTAGTTTAACTACTTCACTTGCTATTATTAAATCTAAATGCAGACAAAGACAGTTAATTATCAATTCAGCGCAAGCAACTTCTGTATCTTGTATCAGAGCTCTAACAGTTTCGACTGACAAATACAAAATACAGATACAGACTGCGAAATACTTAGTACACATACATACAGATACAGAATTAGAATTAATAAATACAGATACAGATACACACTGAGAAATATTAAACACAGATGCATGATACAAATACTAAATACGGATACTGACTTTGAAATACTAGATACAGATAGGTTACTAAATAAAAATAATGACTTTGACTTGTTTTTTTTCTGTACCCTTTAAAATAAAAGATGGCAAAAAAACTTTAAATGAAGGAAGGAGTCGGGTGGTGGAAAAACCCCCCCCTATTCTTACTACCCCTGAACTAATTAGTAGAAGTGAGAATAACATTAATGGGGTTTATGTCAATACTAGATAATTTCAGGAATAGATTAGTGGAAGAAGGGGGGGGGGGGGAGTAATTAATCATATCACAGATGGAGAATTATAGAAACATCAAAGATAAAGGGATAGTTCACAGATAATGGTACTACACAGATGAGAGATATGTCATATTTAATGATTGTATTGATTCTATAGTTAGTTGAACTCGTCGAACCAACCCAGATTGGAAACAAACGATGGAGACCACTTTTCAGTTTATATATTTCGAAATTCTACATGATGTCCTGTCCTCACCAGTACTTAAACCAAAAAATGTCAAATAAAACAGAATAATTTAAAGAAAAAACGTCTATGAAAATTATAACAGTTAAAATTTTACCTACAGGTTGGGAAGACACTGGTCAACTGATTAGATTTGAAAACAATGTGAATCGATATTGATTCTAATAGTACAGTGATACGCAAAAAGAATGATACTTTAACTTAGCAGAAATAATAAATGATCAACCGTTGCATAGTAAAAAGGTAAAAAAACAAACATTTTATTTACTTGAGTCTTGTCCGTTCAGTTAGGGATTAAATAGTTATTTAAAAGACTTCCGAGATTTTACAACTGAATTCTATTTAAGTTTGCCAGAAATATTGCAATATTTTTACACAATGCGAAATTTAGACCCTGCCAAAAATTAAAGGAAAAACAACCAGACCAATGCACATCCCGCCTGACCGGCCAGGTAATCTCTACAAACAACGAAGGCAAATTTCCAATTTTTTAGGAGAAATGATAAAATCAAAATTCCATCAGGAACTAAAAACTTTTAAAAATACCTTAAATTATTTAATTATACTAATACAGAAACGGCAAACAGGGGTAAAAACAAGAGATGAGACCTGAATGTCGACCTAAAGCTAAATATAACGATCTAAGGGTTTCATTTTTTTCCCTTTAGTTAAATCTTTAAATGTTATCATAATGATTTGGCTAAGAAAAAAATAAGTTCATAACTGTAGAGAACCTTAAGTTTTATAAAAAAGACTTAAATGAATTCTGTACAGTCGTCTCTGAAGTCTCGTACTTTTTGGGTAACCCTGTATCCACTTAATGAGTTGGCTAAAAAACAAACATGCAAGGAAATTGTTTTAAACTAAGAGAATACAAAGAAATTTCTCTTTATTTCAATGTGCATATCGTACATTTAAAAATAGACATCTTATTTTTTTATTTTTATTTTACAGAGTTAATGAACTATAATATGTTTATTAGGACTAGATATCAAGCTGATGTAAAAATAAACTTTGAAATCGAATAACCAAAGTAAATTATGTTAGGCATGAATAACAATGAGATGAGTGGTTACTTAAAAAATAATGTTAATTAATTAATAGTTAATTTAAGTGAGGTGTTAACCTAATAAAAGTATTTAGTATAGTGAATAATACTATTAGTAAGTGATTTAATTATATATTTTGGAATTTTTAAGTGATTTAATAGTACTGAACACTAACAGTGAACAGTTAACAACATATTGTCAAAAATTTAAATACCCAAAGTCTATAAGTGTTTTGATAAAAACATTTCAACTTATATCTTTTTGTAAAAGGGTGAGATTAGGGAAAAATCGGAAGAATTTAATAAGGCTGAGGGGAGGGAAGGGTTTTGCCAATTGACCTTTGCAGAATATTATGGTAAAAATTGTAAAACCCCCAACTTAGAAGAAAAATATATTTTGTTTCATTGGATATGTCATTGGTGAACTAATAAATGTTAACTGTTTACAATTTTGAGAACAATGACAATGTGCAAATGCCGCAAATATATCTGAGCGGTCTTAATATAAAAGACGATGTTGATCAAATGCCGCGACACTTTCTTTGCGGATTTGCGGAATTGATTTAAATGGTGAGGGTTTTGATGTTTGTAAGTATTTGGTCTGTCTGTTGGTCCAAACTTGGTCCTTTACCCTGAGTATCCTTTAGTAGGCGCTGCTCTCGTTTCTTTAATTCCTAAAATTGACAAGGGATTAATTTATTAAACCATTTCCCTTCACAAATAAAATTCAGTCATTATCAGAAAGACCCGGAATCCCTAAATAGCCCTAGAGAGCTTTTAAAATTGCTCGAGAAATTTATATAAAGTCACATGTTTAAATGTCAATTAATTCCGGGTCTTTCTGGTTATGACTGTATAAAAATTTTTCAGTAATTCTTTTACTTTTTTTTTACATTGGTAAAAGCAATTGATTTTGGATGTTAATAGCTTGAAAGTAGAAGCTCAATTATATGTTATTAGTACACATTTCGAAAAATGTATAGGCGCAGAATTTCTTCTGGAAACTTGGGCTTAGGTCTCCCAACCATCGTTCATCTAAGATTTCTCTTAGAATGTTCCACGAATCTACCAATCCAGCATCGATGACACAAACCCATAGTAATTCAATATAAACTCAATTTTCCAGGATTTTCTAGATTTCACAACTGTTAAATACCAGATATTAATACCTAAAATGGCCATCCTAGTTTTTCTTGGGATAAATTAATTGTAAAAAACTAATCAATCTAATCCTGGTTTACTTCGGAATATTTTACCCCCTCCCACAGAACGCTGAAAAATATTTTCCACTTAACAAATCAACAACTAATCGAAATTTTTATCAAAAACATTTTACTTTATTCACCTTTTGGCGTTTTGAAGACATGTTCTTGTTCACTGGAGGCTTGTAAACCTCACCAACCTAAAAATTAAATACGTTCTATTGAGAGTATTTATTTCTTAAGTACAGATTAAGAGGACTGATTCTGGGATTCTGATATCGAGGAAAATAAAAAGCGAATCTTAGAGATCTCATGTATTTTCCCCCCTTTTTTCTGGATCATGAAGAATATATTAGTTTCTAGTTTTGGAACTAGATCAATTATATGAACTATAGCAGAAGAGCCTGGCGTTGCCAGTGTAAAAAAATTTGAAATAAAAAATAAAAAAAAGATTTTGAAAAAAATGTCTAATTTTATTAGCCTATAACACCTCCAGCCACCCATGAGTGTCCATAAAAAATTCAGCCCAATCGGTCTAGCCGTTTGGCTGGCAATACGTAGCATATATATGAATGTCTTGTTTTATTATGTATATAGCTTGAGAACTTAAGCGTTGCCCAGGGTACTCATAAGTCATATGTACTACCATCGTTTACCCGCACATGGTCGTTTTTAGCGGAAAACTAGATTTTTTCTTTATAAGTGGACCCACTCAACTTAGAATCTCAAAATCAAATTGAGAGGCAAATCAGTCCAGGGGTTCCTGAGTTATGATCAGACAAACAAACAGATAAAACAATTTATAAAACATATACAAACCATATTTTTTCTAGAGGGTTTACTTGACGTGGATGGTTTGGAAGTTACATTATCACACAATTGAATGACAAAAACTGCTAAAAAAGGAGTTATTAGGTCTAGCTAGGTCACGTGAAATAAGTAAGACGACAATTTCTGGCCTTCTGGACACAGAGGCGCATTTTTAACAGGTCACCTGTGTTCCTATAATTCTGCTCCCTGTTCCATGTTCCGACCAAATGGAGTTAGCGTTCCTATTTTTGTTCCTGTTCTTGTTTCTGTTCCTGCTTCGTTCTTCAAGAATGTAATCAACTGCAGACTTAAAAAATATTCACACAATAATTTATTGCATAATTTTTTTTAAAATCGATTTTATTCATTTGTTATTATTTTGTGTTTTTTTTTTCATTTATCTTTGTCCATTTATCTTTCTTTTTTATAATATTTGCTTTTATTTGCTTTAAAAAAAAAAAAATTTTAAAAACTTCTTGTCTATTGACTTATAAAATAAAATGTTTCTTTTTTACTGACGATCGAATAGAGTGAAACAAATAAAAGTTGTGGTTTCTCTACTAAAGTGATTTGCGCATTTCTACTGCAGGAATTAAAATATACAAAAATTTAACACTTTTAAACCTAGAAAAATGAAAATAATATCTTTTGCATTATTAATCAGATCTACAGTTTCAAGGGTGTCGTTGTAAATCAAACAAATTTGAAACCCTGCTTAATAGTTCATATACAAGATATAGTTTTACAATACCTGAACACTGTAAGCACTTCTCTCCAAAGCTTGAATAATCTCCTCTTCCTGTTCTTTGTTTCCGGTCAATCTAGAGACCTGGAAGTAAAATAATATTATGCAAACTAGACAGAAGAAGGTAAAATTTATGCGACATTGCAAGTGCGACTTTGCGACCTTGTAGCTCCTCTAGCTTTGATTTTACGAACAAGAATGAGAAAAGGAAATGTAACTGGGCTCTAAGATAACTGAGTTTGAGAAGATCATGATGGAGTTAACCGATCAGGAGGTCATTGTCGGAACCTACCAGGAGTTTCTTCTCGGATACAAGGAACAGTAATGATTACGCGAAATAAAAAATAATTGGTCTGTCTGCGTCTAATCATCCTCAAGGCCCTATTTTTTGGGGGAAAGTTATGAAAATTTACGGTAAGTCAATAGTCACTAGACAGAAGGTTAAATTTATGCGACATTGCTCTAGCGACTTTGCGACCTTGTAGCTCCTCTTGCTTTGATTGTACGAACAAGAATGAGAAAAGGGAATGTAACAGGTTACTTATTGAAAATTCAAGACATTTTTGTTCATCTCAATAGCTCTATAATAAAAGGAGTAAAGATTAAAAAATATAAAGATTACAATCTTTTTTGCATTTTACTTATTTTGACATATCTCATTTTCTTTTCAAGAAGTCCCTCTTTTCAAGTCCCAATCATTCTTTAAATGTAGGGTTACTTCAAATTTAAATATCGTAGAAAATTGTATATTTGGGTGCAGCGTTACGTCCTTTATTTAGTTCCTAATCTGAAAGATACAAAAGAAATCAAATTAATGACATAAAATCGGGGGGAGGGGGGGTTATTTACTTACTTCTTGAATTAATTGATCAAGTTTGGAAGAACTCGGTGAATTTTCATAATCTGACTCTTCTCCAGAATCTGAAATATAAAAAAATAAAAAGTAATTACATCTTTGAATTTTTTTTCTTCCCGGAAAAATTTTGTTTTTTTGCAGTGTTGGTGGATGAGCGCGAAGGGGAACTCACCCGATTGCATCGATTTTGTCAAACAATTTAAGAAGGATATTAGCCTTACATTTTTTTCTTTAAATACCCAGTACAGTTGGCTGAGTTCCCCACTTCTTTTAAAGGACTTATCATCAAAATATTTTTGCTTAATATTAAGTCTAACACTTCAACTTCATTAAGAATGATTTGTACGAAATGAATTAATAGAAGCAAAAGAAGGAAACTACTTGGATCTAGATTAAAATACCATGAGTTTATGACAACGTTAATGACACGAAGGGTTAAAGGGACAGACCGGTTATGTAAGGTAGTTAAACTGAGTATGCAGTGTTGAGGACAAATTATTTAGGATTCATTAGAGACATATAAAACTTTTCAACAATAAGGGTTAAAGGTGAACTATTAAAGGGACTGTAAGCGAAGAATCACAACGGGGCCGTTAAAGAGTTATCTGATCAAGTATAAATCAGATATCAAGAAATTATCATGAATTGTGGTTCACGGTTTAAAAATGATAATATCTCCACAGAGGTTTCAAGGGTACAGTTGTGAATCGACTGTTATATAAAAGACAACTTGAAATTTGGTTTACAATCCTACCTGTCATATAGCTACTGCTAGCTCTGTGCAGGTTTCCAGGTTTCTGTAGAATCTCCTTCAAGCTGACCAGTCGTATACCAGCTGATCCAACACAGCTTGTGTCACCAGATCTAAGTTTTACAATGAATGTTATTGCTGAGGGTTACTGGCCCGCGGCCACAACGAGCCCCCCCCCCCAAAAAAAAAACTAGGAAGATGTAATAAAATAAAACATTTTGCCTGCTGACATTTGACGGGGGGGGGGGGGGGCTTGGTCTTAATTTTCTATATAAATAAATAAATAAATAAAAGATCAACCATCATTCCGTGGAAATCAAGGCCGAGACCCCATCAAAAATAACCACCAAAGGATGGAAATTAATGTATATCCGATTGTGACATAAGTCTAGTGTGATCGAGACATCGAGGTCTAGGCCAGTTCCCTGTAATTTATCTCTTTAATGTTTACCTACGAACTGAATTATAATGATCACCATTATGATAACTAACATGGGCCTCCTGTAACATTCATTCAATCAAACTTAAAAACAGTAAGAGCATATCTTCACAGTGTGTCAATTTTTCAAATTTATAAACAAGAGATATTTGATAAATTTAAAAATAGTACTATTGTAAATCTAAATGAAATATTACTTTAAGTAAATATGGATTTTTTAATAAGTTTCCGAAAATAAATAAATAGGAAAAAGAGATAATTTCAAATTTTCCGAACTTATGGAAGAATGCCTGAATAAGAATTAATGTTTAGCTTTTGATTTATGAATATTGAATATACAAATAAATAATAGGATGAAAGGACTGAATTGGATGAATAATAAAATAAATCAATAATAAATTAATTAATCAATAAATGAAAAATGAATCAATCAATAAATTAAAAATTAATTAATTAATGAATTAAAAATGAATGACTAAATGCCTGAAAGCCAGGTGTTCCATCTCTCCCTCCATGAATTTGCCACAAAGGTTTATCAACCTAAGTCAAAATATCATTAAAAATAAAAATATTAAATGATTTTTTTAAAATTCAATTAAAATCTTTCAAATCTTTCATTAGAAAATAACACGTTTAAATAAAATAAAAGAGAGGCCATCATATCATTATCAAAAAAAATACACTTATATATATAGTATATACCCCTTAAAAATAAAAATAAATTTTTATGCCTGATGAATGACTACAGTTAGGTTGTGAAGACGAGCAAATGCTACAATGCTATCATTTCCACCAAAAGTTCCTGGCTCTGACAGATTCCTAGATTCAAGGGACAGTTTATTGTTTTAATCTCGTGCTTTTCAAAGTCTTATTTTTCATCATATATATAAAGTAGTAATCTCTGTTAGTTTGTTTGTCTGATGAACCCTCTGACCGATTTGCCTCAACATTATATTGTGGTTCCCAAGCTAGCCATAACATAAAGTTAGCTGTGGTGGATGCAATATGTATTTCTCATATTGTGCATTATCAATGTTTTAAAATGATAGCCGCTTAAATGAGGGACAGGTAATTGATGTATTTATCTTAATGACGTAAGGTTTAATCATTGACCAGGTAAATCCGTCGCCCCCCCCCCCCCACTGAAATAAGACAGGGGTAGATGATTTCCAGATTCCACACTCACCCCCTCTCTAGGAAAGAAAATGAAAAATTGGACATTAAATTATTTTTTTTTATCCTATTTGATACTTATACACAAATGTTCGAAAATTAGTTAATTTCCCCAATTCAACGAATTTAACTCTAAAATACAAAATTTGCGCTTCACCCATACTTCATCTAAGTATTTACACCTGAAAAAAAGATGATTTTACTGTTTACCTAAGATGTTGATCAAAACTAATATCATCTTCAACAAATGGTTCAAAATCTTCTCTGTGCTCAACCATGTACTGAACAACATTCTCCCTAGAGGAAAATTGATTTTTTTAAAAAGAAAATTCAAGTAGAGTTAAATGTAATGTAATGTATTGTACTGAACTGAAATGGAACTGTGATGTAATGCAATGTCTATAATGCACTTAGGGTTATTAATCGTTTTTGTAAACGATCGTTAAACGATCGTTAGAAGATCGTTTTTTGTTTCGTTTTCAAAAACGATCGTTTCGTTTTCGGAAAAAAACGATCGTTTTTTAAAACGACCCACTCGTTTTGAACTTTAATAAAACGAATAACGATCGTTTTTGAAAACGATCGTTTTTTATTTAAACGATTTGCGACCGTTTTTTATACGATTGTTTTTAAAAAACGATCCTTTTTGAAAAAAATTACATGAAATTTTTTTGAATGTCGTCTTACATGAAGTTTAACAGTTGTGGGAGGGTTAAAACTTCTTGCTATTTTCTTAAAAACTACTCAATGATAAGTACAGATGCCCTTCAGGTCGGTTTCCTCTCTTCGTTAACGATCATTAACGAAGGGTCGTCGTTAACGATCGTTAACGAAACGACGAATTTTATAAAACGATCATTTTTAAAACGAGCGTTTTGAAAACCGAGCGTTTTGAAAACCGATCGTTTTAAAAACGACCATTTTCAAAAAACGAACTTTTTAAAAAAAACGATCGTTTTTTAAAACGATCGTTTCGTTTTCGATTTTTCGTCGTCGTTTTCATAACGAAACGATCGTTTTTCTGAAAAATGAAAACGTTAACATCCCTAGATGCACTGAAATGCCTTATAATGTTCAAAAATGTCCTTAATTTATTCCAATGTCCTTTAATCTATTGCAATGTCCAATAATGTACACAAATGTTCTGTAATCTAGAAAAATATCCTGTAATGTACAAAAATGTTCTGTAATGCACAGAAATATCATGTAATGAACTGAAATGTCATTGAAAAGAAATGTCCGTTATATACGGAAATGTCCTGTAATACAGCAAAATGTCCTATAATGTACGGCAAAATCCTGTACTGTCCTAAAATGTCCTGTAATGTACTAAAAGGTCCTGTAATGTACTGAAATGTCCTGTGATGTACTGAAATGTACTAATGTGTTCATTGATGTACTAAAATGTCTTTTAATGTACAGAAATGTCCTTTAATAAAGTAAAATGTCTTGTAATGTATTAAAATGTCCTTTGATGTACAGAACTACCTGTAATGTCAAGAAAAGTCCTTTATGTACAGACTTCTCTTATAATGTACTGCTTAGTACAATAATGTTCCGTAATGTCCTTTAATGTACTGCCAAGTACAGTAATATAATGCAATGTACGATCATGTTCATAAATAACCTATAATATACTGCCATGTCCTGTAATGTACTGAAATGTCGTAAAATGTACTGAAATGTCCTGGAATGTGCTCATATGTCCTGTACAATAATGTCATGTAATGTTCAAAATGTTGTAGAATGTACTGAAATGTCGTAGAATGTACTGAAATGTCGTAAAATGTACTGAAATGTCGTAAAATGTACTGAAATGTCGTAAAATGTACTGAAATGTCGTAAAATGTACTGAAATGCCTTGGAATGTGCTCATATGTCCTGTACAATAATGTCATGTAATGTTCTGAAATGTTGTAGAATGTACTGAAATGTCGTAAAATGTACTGAAATGTCGTAAAATGTACTGAAATGCCCTGGAATGTGCTCAAATGTCCTGTACTATAATGTCCTGTAATGTACTGAAATTACCTGTAATATACTGAAATTACCTGTAATGTACTGAAATGTCCTGGGTGCAAAAATGTCCTGTACTGTGTCCAATAATGTACTGTACACTCTCCTAATACCTGTGTTTAAAATGGTTATGAGAAGAGCCTTCTATTTGATCACAAAGAGCTCGAAACAAACAATTTCCATCACCTAAAACAATTGCCGAATTAAGAATTTTCCTTATAACACTGGATAAACGATCTAAATTATTTCATTTCATTAATTCTAAACCTGAGGTCAGGATTAATGAAATAAAAAAAGTAGTTAAACCACTTCTTCCCATTATTAAAACCGACCTTTGAGAGAGCTGCTGATCAGCTGATCTTAAACCTATAATTTGCCTCAATCTCTGGAGTTAGTCTCAATAAATAGATTTTAAGGGTTTAGAGAGCTGATTATATTGTTAAATCTATAATTTGCCTCAAGTCAGTCTTCCGCTTCGAGCTATGAGTTTTGATCAAATCATCAGGCATACCATAATCTTTTGTTTGTCTAGGTGATGGCCCTCTAGGTTTGAGAGCTGTTGATTTAGCAGCTGATAATCTTTTACCTAGAATTTGCCTCAATGCCAGCACTAGAGTTGAGAGCTGTTGATCTAACTGATCATAATCCTTTACCTGGAATTTTCCTAGATGCCAGCCCTAGAGTTGAAAGCTGTTGATCTAACTGATCATAATCCGTTACCTGGAACTAATCTAGATGCCAGCCCTAGAGTTGAAAGCTGTTGATCTAACTGATCATAATCCGTTACCTCGAACTAATCTAGATGCCAACCCTAGAGTTGAGAGCTGTTGATCTAACTGATCATAATCTTTTGTCTGGAACTAATCTAGATGCAAACCCTAGAGGTGAGAACTGTTGATGTAACTGATCATAATCCTTTTCCTGGAACTAATCTAGATGCCAGCCCTAGAGTTGAAAGCTGATGATGATTAAACTGATCATAATCTTTTACCTGGAATTAATCGAGATGCCAGCCCTGGAGTTGCAACCTGCCAATTCAGCTAATCATAATCTTTTACCTGGAATTTGCCTTAATGCCAGCCCTAGAGTTGAGAGCTGTTGATTTAACTGATCATAATCATCTGTATATTCTCCCATCTCTTCTCTAAACAATGAAATGAAATGAGATCAGATCAAATGATTTAGTTTTCAGAAATGGCCATGGTTGATGGTTTTGCTTCGATTAAAATACATTCTGATCATTCTTTTTGCTGATCGATTCAGAACAACAATGTGAATTATTAAGGCTACTTTAAAAAAAAAACCTTTTTTCTCTTTTCTCTCTGCGTCTGGCGGCCTTGTGCTCCTTATCACCCTTCTTCTTATACCCAGGCATATTTCATGATCTTCTGAAATATATAAATACTTGATCTGAACCAAATATCAGATTAAGATTTAATGCCGAGATTGATATCTTATATTGACTACGGTTACAAAAGAATGGATTTATAATCTTTTAACAACTTTTTTTTCCGCGGAGAGAGGGGGTCAGATTAATGATAGATATCTTCATGATCAGCGACGTAGCGGACGATCTGTGCAGGGGTTAGAAGCTTCTCTCCATGATCGTCAGGGATCTCAAATCCAAACTCATCCTCCATTGACAAAATAACCTGAGAGATAGGAAAGATGAACAAGGAGCTCTTTTCCCCCTATGTATTGATTTAGGGTTTCTGAAACAAAAGTTTATCAACAATTTCTAATATAAAAAGAAAAGTTTAACTAGATGCAAATGATTGAAATAAAGCTACATATTTTTCATCTTTGAGGAATGAGGATGAAAGGGGGGATTTAAAACTAGTAGTGAAGAGGATTATAAAATCTGCATATCAGTTGCGTTGGATTCTAGACCCAGAAAAGACCTACTTATCTTCCTCTCCTTTAATACACTCGTTATTTATCATGTATTTACATCAAGAAGCAATAAATTTACTTCTAAAGTAGTTAAATATAATTTTTTAAACATAAAAAACTTTCTTTTATTTATATATTTTTTCTGTAAGAAAAACAATTTCTCATGACATTATTTAGGGTTCGGTTAGGCCCTCTGAAGGAAACTACAACAAAGCCAAGCAAAACGGAAAAATCTAAAATTTAAAAATTTGACAAATCAAAAATTACGGAAGTCCAAATGTCGTAGCATTCTTCTAAAAATTGAATTTACCAACCTCAACATGATCCAGGGAGTCTAGTCCAAGATCCTTAAAGAAATGGGATTCAAGTGTAAGCTTCTCCGGGTCCACTTTATCATACAGGTTTAATACAAGGATAACCCTGAACAATGATGGGTTGAACCAATGGTATTGATTGATTTCTTTAAAATATTTTAAGTTTCTTATCATTATGTTCCCTTGACTGAGAGCATTTAATGTTGATGCCTGGGTCAAAACTTAAAAGAAACAAGTTGACTAACATATATACTATATATTTTATACTTCAAAAATCCACCCTCTCCCTTCCTCTGATTCTGAAGAATATCAGCAAAAAACCCTTAACTTCTAAATGGTCGATTTCCGTTAAAACTCTTTAAGAAACGAAAACGGAGCTATCTTCGCAATTGCTTCCTAAGTTAAGATAATTTAAGAGTTATAAGTTTACGTTAATAATCCCTGTAAAGGGACAGAAAGATTTATCTCAAGAGACTCTCTATGCTAAGATGGCTATGCCTGATTCACTACGGTACCTTTAAAGCTTTGTCTAATTTTTTAATCGTGATTTCTCAACAAAAGTGTCTTGTACATCTCAACTGCAGAAAGCTTTATGGGAATTAAATACTTTTATCCTTAAAAAACGACGTTATCTTCCATATTGTTGATGAGATAAATGCTTCAAGGGTACCGATGTGAATCGGTAAATGTCATCATTGTCTTAAGTGGTACTTGCAATTATGCTTACAGTCCCTTTAAGAAACTAATATTTTTATTGTTACCTTTCTGCAATGCTTTTAAGATTCATTGGTTCCTTCGAGCTGTAGTTTCTCAAGGATAGATTAAAGGTAGGAGCAGGAACTGAGAACCTTTCTCTATGCTCAACCTAGCATAGAAACAATTTATAAGCTGCAGGGGTGTATAATGTTAAGACTTACACGCCCCCCCCCCCCAAAAAAAAAAACATCAATAATTCATTTTCCCCTTTAATTGCCGCAAAAAACCTATTTGTTTTGCTCCCAACTCAAACATTCTTAACTTGAGGCGAAAAAAGGTGTTTTTTAGAAAGAAAGCAACAATGAAAAGCTGAATAAGAATTATTTTAAGTATTTGAGCGAGAATTCATCTAAATCAAATTCTCAGGTGCGAAAGATTTCAATGTTTACGGTTTCAATCTTGATTATCCAAGAAGTGTTAACAACCCTAGAAATTTGACCTGGTTGCATTTAATAAAGGCTGATGAGAGTCTGGCCTCTGCTCTGACCAGCCTGGTCGCTGGTCTTAACAATCCAATACATACTCGGGATACAGACATTCTAACCTGAAATCCAGGTACACCTAATCAGTAGAGGATATTCAACTAAGATAAATCAGGTCATGGGATAGGAAATAAAGGGACTGTAGACGTAATTTCAAGTGACCCTCTAGTTTAAGAGTGGAATGCACAATTCACAAGGGTACCTCGGACATGCTGTACAAATGGAGGGTCACTAGATATTATGTCTCCAGTCCTTTAACAGTATATAATTAATAATAATTTCAAAGCTGACCAGTGAACATCAATAATCTCCGAATATATATATAAAAATTACACTGGTCCCTTTATAAAGTCATCAAAAAAATAAATCTGCTCGTTTTTTTTACATAAAATGTCCTTTCAATATAAATCATAAATATAATATTCTGCCCCTTTTTTTAACAAAAAAAAAGTTTTAAATGCGTTACTTAAGCGTATTTGTTTACATTGAGGTACTAAGATTTTTTTTTCTCAAAAACTAACAAGATACAAAGTTTCATAGCTAAGAGTTTTATAAGATGTTATTTTTGTTGTTAATGTTGTTTTCGTTGTCAATGTTCTTCCTGCTATTGATATTGTTATCATAGCTAATGTTGTTGTTATGGTTTTTATTACTGCTGCTGTTGTTATTGTTGTTTACATTCGGCTGCTGGTTCTGCTGAATGAACTTCCTTTGACGTAAAATGTTTACGCCCGCGTCCTCGACCCTCCACACCAGCCTGATCAATCAACCAATCAATAAATTAATCAATCAATCAACCAATAAATCAACCAATCTATCAATACTTCAAAGACCTGGTTAGAGTTTACATTGCGTATATACGTAGTATTCTTGAGTACTGTTGTGTAGTATGGAGTTCCTCTTTAACCATAGCACAGGGTGAGGCCCTAGAAAGGGTTCAGAAGGTGTCCCTAAAAGTTATTCTAGGCCCAGTATATGTTAATTATCAATCTGCTCTATCAGTTCTGGAACTAGAAACCTTAAGTATTAGGAGAGAGAAACTTTGTTTATCCTTTGCTAAAAAATGTCTAAAATCTCAAAGGCATTCTGCCCTATTCCCGGTAGAACCAGTAACTCACAACCACCAGCTACGGAACGTTGAACTATTTACTGTCAACTATGCTAGAACGGAGAAATACAGAAAATCTGCTATTCCCTATATGCAGAGAAAATTAAACTTCCTATGATATAACCTTATCTTAATCTGTGATAAAACCCATGATATATTCAATTATATTCTTATGAGAATGTTAATCATATTATAATATGTATTATGATCTTGATTTATCTCTAATAAATCTCACTTACTTACTTACTTACTTACTTACTTACTTACTTAAAATACTTCAAACAATCAATCTTTCAATCAACCAATCAATCAACCAATTTATCAACCAATCAATCAACCAACCAATCAATAAACCAACCAACCAATCATTCAATCAAAATATAAATATATATGGGTATTCAAATCTTTTATCAATTAATCCACTAAACAATAAAATAATCAATCAAGATTTACCTTTTCCTTATTGGTCTCTTTTCCTTCTTGCGCTAGCACCCCTTGAGTTTGTTCTCCGTTCGTTGAAATCTCCTCAACCTTGTCGCAGAGCACAATACCTCGCCGTTTCTTTTCCGGTTCTCCCGTCTCCACCTTCTCCTCCTTCTCCTCCCTAACCTCCACCTCCTTCTTCCTCTTCAAATCATCTTCCTTCTTGGATACAACTCGTCTCGTTCCGTCTAAAACCAGGGGTCCATATATTTCCATCTAATACGATCAGTAAATGTTGAATGATTTATATTAGGGACAGAAATTAATCATGTTGTTGTAAACAATTAAAAGTTTTATGTCAAGAAGTAGAAAAAAATCCATACTGCAGAATGTATACTAGAAGGGAATTTTATCGTTATTTTTTTTGCATCGAACATGACCAATGGCCAAAAGTGAAAACCATAGACCCATGACCAATGGCCAAAAACAAAAGAACAATTGCGAGTTACCAAATTACTTTACCAGTTGACCTAACGCAAAATAATCCAATGCTATGATTAACGTTATAATAAGGTCCAATGATCAAATTAATATAACCTATGATTAAAGCCATAACAATGGTCAAGACCATATTCAATGACCAATGATCAAAGTAACCTTAATTTTGATAAAACCATAACAATGTCCATGATCAATGACCAATGAAAATGAAAAATGATCCTAACCAAATTCACCTTACCTTGTTTAAGGAGGATTTCTTTAGGTTGAAACTCTTGACTTGATACAAGAACATTCTCCTTCTCCTCTTTCTCCTTTAAATCGTTGAAATTAATTTGTTCTACTATACGCTTCTTAGGTTCCTTTAATACATGGTTCAGCTAAAAAGGAATGTGAGAAGTTAGATGTTGTCAAATTTCTTCCCAACAAAAGTATATTTTATACTTCATAATACTTTTCTACCCTTAAGCTTCTTATATCATTTTAAAAGCTTTTAGTTGATATCATTTTACAAATATTCAAATCAAATCAAATCAAATCAAATCAAATCAAATCAAATCAAATCAAATCAAATCAAATCAAATCAAATCAAATCAAATCAAATCAAATCAGAACTGTAATTGTAATTAATGTTGCTGAAACAAGTTCCTTTTTCGTATATTTGTTGGTAAATGTTCCAGCTTTCAGTTCTTCCACTTGAATTCTCAGTGTATAACTCTCCGCTGGATCACAAATAATCGCAAACTTTTCAAAAGAAATTTGCACATTCAACAGAAATAAAAATTGTGGAAATCTGCCAAATGACAAACTCATGACAATATACAATATACAATATACAATATACAATATACAAGCTCCTGAAATGATGAACTTCGTAAAAAGTTTTTTATTCTGTCAATGTTCGTTGGATCCGCATTATTTTGGCTTCCCGGATCATCCTCGATCTGCAAAAAGATGTGACTCCAGTAGGAAAAATGTCATCAAATCCTGTAAAAAACCTTTTTGCTCTCAACTCGTAAAAAAAGATTTTTTAAAGCTTCCTAATCTTAATAGTTTATCAATTTTTAGCATAAAAAAGCAAATAAATTAGTAAATTCTTCATTTGTCCAAAAATGAAGTAAATCTTAAGGAAATGTTATGATCTGAGATGGAATTTAAAGAATTTGAGCCGTGGTTTAAATCTGCCAAAACCCGGTTTAAATTAAGTGCCGGCTTAAATCTTGAAACATTTGATACAATTTTAAGTGGAACCAACCATATTTAAGCCGCGACTTAAATTTAAACCGCCGCTCAATTTCTTTAAATTCGGCCACTGGATCCAGATCCGACCATTTCAGATGAATTCCAAGCACTGGCTTTCTTACTAGTTTAAAAATGAGATTATTTCCCTTTCAGTTTATTAATCTGTTGTTCTGAGGAATGAAGTTTCCTACAGAGTTCTTGTTGCTTGTCTGACTCCTCCATATTTAACCGAACCTAAACAAACCGGAAAATATTTAATGGAGCCAGAAGTTGTAAATATCGGAATCAAGCATTGATCTCCATCTTAAGCAGACCAATCTAATTCGATTAAACACCCATCCCCCCTTCAACCATTAACACCGAGAAGTCAGACAAACGGACAGATAAAGATACATTCAGTCAAATAAACAGACAGACAGAAGGAAAAACAGATTAGGATAATTTGACCTGTTTTCTCATTTCCTCCTGAAACTCCTTATTCTTGTTCTGCGCCTCCTGCAGTAGGTGGGCCAGGTACTGATACTCCTTACTCCTCAGATCATGGCAGATTGCAACTATAATATTAACAACTCAAGGGATATTGCAATTATTTTATTTAAATGTTTATTCAGAATACTTGACAATTGAAATTTACATTAATTTTACATATAATCATCATGGATAAACTATATTACAAATTTTGTTTTGATTTTAAACAATTTTTTATTCGTTTTTAATAACTTTTTTTGTTTTTATCAAAGTATCTAAGGAGATTGCTAACTATAACATTAACAACTTTAATGAGATTGCAACTTAATTATAAATTAACTCTAGGGAGATTGCAAATATAATATTAATTACTATAAGGATCGATTGCAACTATAATATTCCAAGGAGATTGCAATTGTGATATTAACAACTCCAAGGAGATTACAACTGTAATATCAAAGGACGTTGCAACTATAATATCAGAAATTCAAGTACAGATATATGACATAGGGAAACTTAAAAATTTACCAAAAATAAAAATTTAACCTGATCGTAATTATGAAAAAATACCTTTACCCTTAACTTGAAAGTGTAAAAATTTCATAATTTGAATGGTCCGGGATGTATCTGGGCCAATTTCTTATATATTTTTACTGTATAAATCCACAATACCTGTACTAGTATCTGTGTCCATATTAGAATCCTCTGCACCTCCCTCCTGTGTGGATTGAGAAGGAGGAGGAACTGAACCAGGGAAGGTGGATAATCTTTCAATAGTTTCAAGTTTATCCATCAGAACACGAACCTGATATTCAACCAATTAAAATAGTTTCTTAAAGGGACTGTAAAGGGTATGGGCTGAAACCTAAGCATTTTAAGAGTTGATCGAAACAAAAAAGAGTTCTATCTGATGTTCTTGTCTCGAGGAATTGATATAAAACTGTGTCAAATTTATACGAAAATTTATATACATCAAATTTGTATAAAAATCGTAGGGTTAAACAGATCATATTAAGAAAATACGCAACCAATCTGAAAACGACGATATACCAGAGAAGCCTAACAAACTTAGGTTTGCTCCTATTATTATTTAATAATTTTTCGTTTATAATAGATAAAATTGATAATATTATTTGTACGTCCGTATCACGTGACTAGAACTCCCACAAATGGCAGTGCAGTATACTGGTCACGTGATACAGACAGAGACTCATGACATTAATACTGCACTGCCATTAGTGGGAGTTTCGGTCAAGTGCTTAGATTTAATTTTTCCTTTACAGTGAACCTTTAAAAGATTGATAAAGCCTCCCGTCCTTTGACCTCTAAATATAGTAGTAAAATCTCAGCTTAAATACTAGAAAAAGATAAAAATACAGAACAAATATTTCCATGTTAAGTGTTAAATGGAAACGGGAACAATATTTTAGGATCTTAACCTAAATAAAGTTAATGGAGTACATTTTTTAAGGATTAACTTAATTATTTTTAAAATTTCCCCATAAAACAAGCTGATATTAATCTATATAATAAAACAAGACATTCGTACAAATGTTCTCGCTGGCCGGCCAAACGGCTGGACTGAAAGGGCTGATTTTTTTGTAGACATTCATGGGTAGCCTGGGGGTGACATAGGTTAAAAAATGTGATTTTTCCCCTAAAATAAATTTTTTCTTTAAATTTAAAAAATAATTCTTTTTAATTCTTTTTTCTGAACGTTTTTCCACGGGCATCGCCGGGCCCTACAGATAGTTTCCAATAAACATTTTATATTAAAAATAAACCCTCTATAGGAAAAGGTTGTGCATTGTGCAAGCATACTGCAGAAGCATATACAAAGGTGGGGGCTCAGCCTCCCCCTGGTTCTGTAAAATCTATGGTTTCCAAATTACCCCCTTCCCTGGACGAATTCCTGTATACGCCCTTGGCTTGTGAGAAATAATGAAAGGTTGAATTCCTTGTCTTTCTCTGTTCTAAGAAGATCTTCAAGCCGTCCTACATGCTCAGTATCATTTCTAAACAAACAGATAATTAAAGAGAGAATTTTAACGGTCTGAAAATAGGGTGTTAAAGGTACTTTAACCGTGACCCTAAGGAGTGACCGGCAATGTATGGTAGTTGAACTGAGAATGTAGTATTATGGAGATTTTTACGTATTTACGGGTAATATTTGTTCAGCAAGAGCGCAAATTCAATCTTTAAAATCCTCTTAGATTGTTCATTTTCGAAGGATGATTTTGAGAATCGGGTTTTATAAAATTGTTTAATAACGACGACAAAAAAAACGTAGTAAAAATTCTATAGTAAACTAATGATTAGTTCTTATTCAGCTCTTGGTTTCTGTAATGTATCATAATCATTTTCTGTAGATTTCCTGGAACTTTTAATGAAAAGACGACATTTGAAAAATTTGAAGAAATCTGGGAACAAATTTATCAAGAATAAGAAAATCATGATGAAAAAGAAAAAAAATTGATCCTAACATTGATTTATTGAGAAAGTTTCAATTGAGAAATATGTTCCTAAACAACTAATTAGTTTACTGTATATTTTCTTTTTCATTTTTTGTCGTCGTTATTTAATAATTTTAAAAATCGATGCTCAAAACGTAACCACCCAATGGATGATTTCGACTTTGCGCTCAAACTCAGTAATTATACATCATTAAAACGTTTTATAGACCTGTCTCTAATGAATCATAAAAAATTATTCCACAAAACTACATTCTCAGTTCAACTACCATACATTGCCGCCGGTCACTCCCTTTTATGCAAACATGACTATGATCGATTTACAACGGTACCATGAAAAGCTTTTTCTGGTAAAGTATGAATAAGATATCAATGTTTTCAATTTCGAAAATTGATTATTTCAATTGTGATTTCTATAAAAACTAGCTTGTGCAATGCGCATTTCTACCTATAGGGAAATATCAGAATTAAATAACTTTAAACCTAGAAACAATTACTAAAGTTTTTGCAATAATTACAATGAAATTTTCAATTTTGCCGATCTTAATACCTAATAAAACCCGTATTCAAGCGCAGCAAAGGATTTTTAAAAATACTTCGAACAATACTTTTATATTTGAAACTCTTTTGACATAAAAACTGTAATTATTTACCTTGTTCCAGCGATACTAAGCAGCTGTGAATTGTGCATCTTCACTTTCTGCAGCTCAGCTACCTATAAAACAAGAGAGGTATATATTTATTTACTTCATAACTTCATTGGAAGGATTATACATTCTAAAGAATGTATTGACACAGAATTACTTCTGTATACATTTATAGCTCCATCTTTCAGTCCATGTGTGTCTCAGACTTTGTCTTCGAGCTATCTGAGGAATGCCAACATTCTCCATCTCTCGCGAAAACATAATAGCAAAATTGTATTTTTTTAAAAACCGTGTACTATCTTTTCTGATTTGAATCCTTTTATTTTCGCTTTTATATTTTCAGATTTCTTTGTTTCCGTCTCAATTTTAACTCGTATAAATAAAGTACCTATAATGGTTTTAGACTCGTTTTAGATAAAAAATAACCTATTTTGATTTAATCTTTAATAAGGTATTTGATTTGAATTCTTTCTTCCCAAATAAATAAGGTAAAGGAAACAAACAAAAATTACATTTCCAAAATAAATTTAAAACAAAAATTAAAAAACCGAAAAAAAACTTGATTCTTTTAGTTAAATACATATTCAAAACATGTAGGTCGGGACCAATTGGCATTTTGTGATTCCCCCATCCCCCTGATCTAAAATAACTTTTCCAAAATAGGTAAAAGCTTTTCATCGCATTATTCCCTTTTTTAAGGTGTAAAAGCAACAAATCCACATGGGAAAAAAGTTAGGTTAAAGTTAAGATTCTGTAATCTGTATTTATAAAACACATTTATGTTTCGAGACAAATTCAGATGACAGAACGACATTTTATTGTGTCCTTTAAATGGTTTGAGGATAACAAATTTACTTATAATTCGTAAATTCTACTTGTAATGCTTGCACATTGTACAATTTATCCCTATAATTAGTTCCTTAATGTACACAGTTTGCTATAAATATCACTGAACATATAACACTCCCGTGGTTAAACTAGTTCTCCCAATCAAAATTCAAAATTTGAGGTAAATAGATCAGAGGGATTTTTAGTTATCATCTAACATACATATTACATACAAACAGAGATTACAACTTTATATACAGGGTGTCTCACGAAAAAAGACTGTTGGTGAATAGTTTTGAATGTCTTCTTTATAGTTTATTTAGTTTTAAAAAAATCTTCTATACAAATATATTTTACTTTGAAATGAATTTTAATATAATATGACTGCCATGTGATATTTGTTATTATTCTCTTTGGTATCCAACAACTTAACAAATCATGGAAGAAGACATTTTTAACATTCACCAACTGTCATGTTTCGTGGAACACCCTGTATATAGATACCTTGTTACCTTGACATCATATCCTTCTTTGATGATATCATATTTCCTTGTGAGAGCTGAGAGCTGAGATTCAACCCTTTGCCTTCTATCCTCTACCTCGGAGAACAAGGAGTTACCCTTCCCGTCCTAAAATAAGATTTATGGGTTGGGTTCCAGTTTAAGGGACTGTAAGCGTAATTTAAAGTGACCCTCCTTGCAAAGATGGCAATGCCCGATTCACAACGGTACCATTGAAACTTTTTTAAATTTTCCTAGCACCCTTTAACCTTTTCATGCTCATATGTTTACTGTTTATTGATTTAGAGAGAAAGATAATGATTTTTGCTTAAATGCAAGATACATTAAAACCCTCTAACCTCCTTTATCCGTCCTTATTTTTGCTAAATTTTGTAAGGTTTTATGGTCACGAATTTGAACTGCAGGTAAGCTACAGCAGCTTCTTGAAGGAACTTATTCTTGAAAACTCTTCCTGTTCCACTCAGAAGGTCAAATCTAGCATTTTCAGCAATGATCAGAACTCCGACCGGCGCGCGCGGTGGATTGGTTGAATTTCGTGACGTTTTCCCCAAGTTTGCGTTTCTAGATATTCAGTGAACTGGTCTAGGGTCTCTGATATTCTTTAAGAACGGGGGATATTTACCTGATCTATGTTTTCCCCTAGTTGAGCGTCTAGTTGTGCTTGAAGTTCAACTATTTCCATTTTCTGGGATTCAATTGTAGCGCAGTATCCACTCATTTCACACTGAAGACTCTCTACATTTAGATTCTGCTGATCTAACTTTAACTCAAGAATTCTGAACAAAAAGTTTTCGTAAAAATTATGTTTTAATGAAAATTTGCTGTTTAATATAATAAAACTATTGAAGTAATGTGAACTATTTAGGTCGAGAACAAAAATTAAGGAATTGAAGGACAATTTGGACGTTTTTTCAATTTTTATTTTTTTTCAATTTTCATTTTTGACGTTTTTTCAATTGTAAACCCAGATTTACATTTTCAAAGCTCATCGTAATTTCCCTTAACACCACCTAATAAAACAATGAAAAAATATTTTTGGACCCTTTTTGTTTCTTTTGTGTTATATATTTGTGTTTCTACTTAAATTTTTTTCTTGATTCTTCTTTCCGGGTGCTCAAAAAATCATTTTGAATTTTGAATGACTAAGGATGAAGAATAAACATCCTACCTGGCATTGTTCTTGAAGCTGTCCAGCTCCTCCCTGGTGTTTATGAGGTCCTCCTGCAAGTCCTTGATCTGATTAACCAGGTTCATGTTCTCCTCTTCTATCCTCTCCAGCTCTCCAGAAATACTGTCTCCTACAAAAAAAAATAAGAATAAAAATCGAAATCGAAATTCTAATACAAAAATCAACCAGAAATCAAGATCACAATCACAAACTAACATCACAATCGCCATCGCACTTTCAATCCCCATCTCAATCCCCATCCCAATCCCAATCCCAATCCCAATCCCAATCCCAATCCCATCTCTCCTGGAGAGCCCAGACCACCATCGGGGCTAGCACCCTTGACTCCTTAAGCTCCGGTACCCCCCGGATCCCATGTAATTAAAGCTTTGAAGACTAGTATTTACTTTACCTGTTATTGATTGATTTCTTAAACTACTCTGTTTAATCTGTTCTTCTAGGTTGAGTATTTCCTCCTTGAGCTTGATCTCCCTGACTCCTCCTTGTTCTACCTCTAGCTCTAGCTCACCCAGTCGTATTTTCCACTCCTCATCCCTTTTAAGTAACCTCTCCTCCCAATCGTCCTATAAACGGATAGAGTTGGGCATTCTTCTTTTCAGTTTTTTAACATTAAGGTGATTTGATTTACGGAGACCCCACCAACATAATTTTAACGTTTGACAAAATTCAAAACGCTAAGCTCTTAAAGGGACCGTAACTTATTTGGGTAATTTCATGGTAGACTAATTAGGCTATTTATTAGCTATTCAATGGAATATGTTGATACTGTGAGTATGAAATCCTCGAAAGAGGATTATGAAATCCGCAAATCAGTGGTGTCGGACCCTGGAACCAGAGAAGACCTACGACCTACTCAACTTCATCTCCTTTTATACACTCGTTATTCATTGCTGCTAGGTATAATTACATGATAAATAACGAGTGTATAAAAGGAGAGGAAGTTGTTAGTTGTTAGTTTCTCCGCCAAGGTCCTGCATCATGCAAGAATGAAATGGTGGTTTAGGTCATCATTTATTACTCTAGATCCATGGCTGTATTTCTATGCTGATCATAACTGTTTTTAAAAGCATATAGGGTCATGGACCAGGTTAAATGATGAATTCAACCTTGTACTCACTGTTGAGGCTGAATTTAACCGGGTAAACCAGTTTTTTCACAAACATCATCATGCTGGTGCAGTATTAGTCTCAATTTTCAAAGATATCCATGGCCGGAGAAAAAGCCGATTTATCGCTTAGAAATCCAACGGAAAGATATGATACCTTTGCATAGACAATATTTTTCAGTAACATTTAACAACAGCCCAATCAAATCTATAATCATCATATTTCAATGACATCATGTGTCAGTCATTATATAATAAAATATAAAAACATGTGATTTTAGAATTAGCAAGAAATTAACGTTTTTCGTGTTCGAACATGATTTAACAAATTAACATGTTTGTACAAAAACGACTTTCTCTCTCAGAGAAACTGGTTCCTGGATTCCAACTGTTCATTAATCACGGGGATTTCTGGGGGGACGTTATTTTGAAAATAGACAATTAAAAAGAGAAATAAGTTATTTTGAAAATAGACTTACTTACTTGTTTACAAAAAGCATTAAATAGTGTCTAATGTCTATGCTAAGGTATCATACCTTTCGCTGGAATTCTAAATGATAAATCGGCTTTTTCTCCGACCACAGTTGTCTTTGAAAAGTAAGACTAATACCAATAAATAGCTAAGCTATTAAGTTTACCCAACTAAGTGAACGGTCCCTTTAAGGTTAGTGCTTTTTTACAATATGCAAATGTTGACTCTGGAAAAAGTTTTTTTCCAATCGTTCATTAATAGAAGAATGGTTTTACTACATTCAGACTTCACTCTTCTCCACTGATTTGAAGAAATAAAACAAGTTTTGAGCAAAAAATAATAAAAAGGCCGAAAAATCCCTCTGGCTGATGTCAACTTTTTAGTGTTTCTTCCCTAATCTACGATATTCATGGTTCATATACCCCCCCCCCCCCGTGAATGTTCCCCCTTACCTTCATCTCTCCCCTCTTCTCCTCATCTGCCTTCAAGGAGTCTCTCAAGGAGTCAAGTTCAGCGCTCAGACTTCGTTCAAGATCAACTTTAGCCTGGAGTTTCAAACCCAACTCATGCTTCTCCTGTCTTAACAAGAATAATTGTTTCGACATTTTTTTAAAGTCATTAACTTCTTAAAATGAGTATAAACTTGGTACTTCTTGAAAATCTGAGATATCCAATAAAAAATTTATTTAACTTAATCCGCAAAACCAAAATAGATAAGGATAAGTGCTTTCTATAGAGATGAACAAAACTCTTTAAACCAATACTAATTATGATCTTAAAAGACAATATGATTGATATACCTGGCGATTTCGATAGCGTTTTCTAACTCGAGGTTTTTATCAAGCAGTTCTTTTCCAAGCCTACGAAAAGGAAAGGTATAACATAAAACTTTCCCACTTTTATGCAATTCACAATGAGGAGGATTATTAAATTTTCATTGTAGCTCTATTTACAATAATATTATAAATAAAAATTTCCACTTTCTAAAGAAAGTTACACTTGGAATCAGTGCTTAGGATCCATTTAATTTTGATGCGGATCCGGATCCTGGATCCGCACAGGAAAAAAATGGATCCGGATCTAATTTATTTCCATAAAACTTACTGAAGTTTTTAAACAAAGCAGAATTTTCAAATTTTGTCTATTTTTTACGCTTATTTTTATACGAAACTTGATGAACCATTCAGAAATCAGATATTCTCTCTTTTTTCGATTGTTCTGATTTGTGGATTGAGGGTAATCTATTTTTTGTTGATATTTTGCCTCTTAAAAATATGCGGATCCGGATCCAGGAGGCCAAAATATCAACAAAAAACAAAATCAAAAAGAACGGATCCGGATCCTAAGCACTGCTAGGAATTTTGCAATAAACGTAATCTTTCGAATTTAAATTTAATGAATGACGTGACAAAAGATTGCAGCATTCTTATCAATAGAGAAATCACAGAAAAAACTTGTACAATTGTTTAACATTGTAATTGAACTATCTGGATGATCTGGATAACCCTGTAGAATGTACTTACATTGCTGCTTTCATCATTTTGTTCTCAAAATCCTTAGCATCATCTTTAGCTCGCTCCAGATCCTTCTGTAGCCTTTATTAAAGAACAAAAATTATTTTACGAGGAAGCTATAATTACTTTCCCATGAGCCAAAAAAAATCTTTATCTGAGCCACAATATGCGTCAAATAATTATTCTTAAATCTGTATTACCTGTTAATCAATTCATCAGCCTCCTCTGCTGCCATTTTGTCTTCTAAAAGTACATATTACAGAACCAATAAGTTTACAGGATATGCCATATTTACGTTACGATTAAGTTTTGGACGAATGATTTATATGATCACAATTAGCTATTGACAGTCAGGATAATGATGATTACAAGCAGCTGGAAAATGTTTAAAGTATTCATTTCAGATCTTAGCAAAACAATTTCTTCCTTGGACGTTTTAATTTTGAAAGGCACCGATCAATGACTTCAATTTATCATAGTAAAACTTTAAGTTATCACATAAACTACGTTATACAAAATCAATATGTACACCATTTCTCTTTACAATTTTATGGAGGATTAAGCAATCTCAGCCTGATTGGTGGAAAACTAAATAGTACGAAGGCAAAACTTTTTCTTATTTCTTTCATTTACAATTGTTTAATTAGAATTCAAACATTTAATTTACAAGTTTTAAGTACAGAACATATATGAGAATAATTGCACCGTTCCTAAAGTTTCTAAGTCAATCTATTTTAATTCTGCTTTATGTAAAGAAATTGGAATGTAAATTCAATACAAAATTTAAAATTTAAAATTAGCTGCCAATTTGAAATAATGACATTAAGACATGTTTAATATTAAATTATTTAAGATAAAATGCAACAGGATTACAAGACAACAGAGATTAAAATAGATTAGAACATCAATTGTGTGCAATATTATGGAAAATTTTAAAATCGCGTCAGGGGAGGGGAGGAAGGCCAACCACAACAATTTCTCGTCCGAGCCACATTCTCCTTATTTTCTCGTCCGAGCCACCTCGAAATCCTCGTCCTTTCAATATTATTTTTTTTAAAGTGTATAATCCTTCCAGATAAAACTATTTTTTAAGAATCAAGCCACGTTAGGGCATAAATGAAATATCATAACGTGGCCAGATTTATAAAAATAGTTTTATCTTCAAGAATTGGAAACTATTTAACACAAAGTAATCAAAAGACGAGGATTCCGAGGTGGCTCGAACGAGAAAATGAGGAGAATGTGGCTCGGACGAGAAATTGTTGTGGCTGGCCTTCCTCCCCTCGTCAGGGTGTTCCCAAGAGGAAATTGAACAATAACAATACATAAGTATCCAAATGTTTAAACCAACTGAAACAGTGCATGAAGGGCTCAGTGGTTAATAATGGTCAATCTTAGAAAAGGGCGGTCACAGAGGGGGAGGGGCTAGGGGAAAGTGCCCTACTCCTAAAGATTCTAATGAAAACCATGCTTCTCTTAGAATTCCAAAGAGAAGCAAATTCATTTGAGGCCCCCATTTAGATTAAATCCTTTATACGCCATTCATAGATTGCATACACAGAAACCCAGCTAGTGCACATGATTTTACAATGATATGTCCATTTAGTTACATACAGTAAACAGCAGAGTGAACAAATAAAGATTTTATTTTTCACACATTTTATGAACCCTCCATTTCAATTCACAAGCCCGGGCACAACTCAGAAATACTTCCCACCAATGGACCTATTTAAAACTTCCAATAGTAGAAGCAAAAATGTAGAAAACCCTGTTTTCAAATATACATAATATAGAGAGTTATCTTTATAATATGTGATAATAATAACTACTTTACAAAATAACATAACAATAATAATCTGCCATTAAAATATTAAAAATACTAAGACCATATATTGAGAAGCTTGATCAAATGCAAATTTAATACTTAAATCAATAAAATTTTAATAGAAGAGAGAAATGAAACATATTCTAACCTAAATTAGGCAGCTAAAAAATAAAAATCTATAAGATATAAACTTATTTTAAAATAATATTTTCAGATGATCTGACCTGAAACTATGTTATTTAGTTCACCTAAACGTACATCTATAATTATCACATATCTAGAAATACAGGGTGTCCCACGAAACATGACAGTTGTTGAATAGTTTTAAATGTCTTCTCCATATTTTATATTGGATATTAAAGACTATTTGCATGTCATTTCGTAAAAACATCTTTTTCTCAAATATATTTTACTTTGAAATCCATTTTATAATAATATAATTGGCACACAGTATTTTTCATCATTCTCTTTAATATCAAACTACTTTACTAATTATGCAAGAATACATTTTAAACTATTCACCAACTGTCATGTTTCGTGAGACACTCTGTACCATATTTATAAATAGACAAATAAACACGATTCAAGGGTTTAAGTTGTTCAGTAAAAATCAAAACTGTGAATGAAAAATGAACATGGACAGAACAATATAATCCACTGTGTTTTAAGTAGATTGAAATTCATTGATTTATTTGACATTGGAAAATTAAAATTAAATCAAAGGATTCTTTACTCAATAGTCCCATGTACAGGGTGTCCCACGAAACATGACAGTTGGTAAATAGTTTTGAATGTCGTCTTCCATACAATGTATTAGATATTAAAGGCTGTTTGCAGTTTATTTCGTTTAAAAATCTTTTGCTCAAGTATATTTTACTTTGAAATTAATTTTATTATAATATAACTCCTATATAATATTTTTATTATCGTCTTTGGTATTAAACAACTTAACAAATTATTGAATAAGACATTCTAAACTATTCACAAACTGTCATGTTTCGTGGGACACTCTTTACCATTCATACCTCAACTTGAAAGTGTTGGCCTTGGCATTCTTTACTGAGTTTTCTTAATAAAAAGTTAAACTGGATAAATTAAGGAATGTTGGAAATAAAAAACATAACTGTAAATCTTTGTCAGAAACTTTCTTGATAAAATATTTTGTATGCCACATACACTTTTCTGATATTTGGGCAACATGTTGGCTCCTTTGCTGCGTACAAATCTTTAATTTTGTTGGGCCACATGGTTACTCTTTTCCTTAGCTGAAATCCTCATCTAGCAGTAGAGACTTCTCGTGGTTCTTTTTCCTAGGGATTCCAAGCTGAGCTACCGCCTGCAAGCATTTAGATTTAAAAGAAAAGAAGATTAAAAAGTATCTTAAATCCAAAAAAAATTATCTGTAGTAGAGTGGCCCTTCACCCAATTCTGTAGAAAAATCAAAATATATGTATCTAATGGAGCACGAGTCTTAACCTTTGACAAGGATGGAATTTTTTTTAAGCCTAAAAAATTAACCCCCTAAAAATTTAACTGTTACATGAGGGAGGGGAGGCTCATAGAGTAACGAACCTATCAGATAAAAAAATACAAAAAAGGTTAAGTCTGAACTATATTTCAAGAAGTTGAGTTTGTAACGCTATTTGCGGCCCCAACCTGAGATAAATGGTGTGTCTTCCCTCCCTTTTTAAAAAATTGAGTCTGTAACGCCATTTGCGGCCCAGACGTGAAAAGATGGTGTAACTTCCCTTCCCTTCTCACGAAGTTAAGTTTGTAACGCCATTTGCGGCCCAGACGTGAAAAGATGGTGTAACTTCCCTTCCCTTCTCACGAAGTTAAGTTTGTAACGCCATTTGCGGCCCAGACGTGAAAAGGTGGTGTATCTTTCCTTCCCTTCCCACGAAGTTGAGTTTGTAATGCCATTTCACCCTAAACTAACGAGAGAGAGAAGCATTCAGCTTCTTTTATTTGAAATCAAACGTGTTTTCTTCTATAACTCATCAGTCTTTAAACTTACAGATTTGTTTATGTTATAATTTTTCATTCAAAATGTATATGCCAACAAAAAAATATTTAAGATAAAAGGCTATAAAATTATGTAAAAGGGGTCAAATTGTGATGGAAAATCACAGTTTTCTGAAATATGGACAGAACCGTTAAATCCACGTGATTTGCGGCCCAGACGTGAGATGGGTGGTGTTTCTTCCTTTCTTCCTAACGAACTAAATTCATGACACAATGTGCGCCGTACGGCCCTGACTACCCTGACGTGAGACGAATGGTGTATCTTCCCTCCCTCCTTAAGATTGAGCTTGTGACGCCGTTTGCGGCCTAAATGTGAGACGGCCGTGGGGGGGGGCCCTTGGACGCCATGAGCCTCCGTTATGCAGAGACAAGCCTCCCAGATTTGCTAGGCAGACCAAGCCTCCACTATGCAGATCAAGCCTCCGCTTTGCAGACCGTGGCTCCGCTATGAAGTAAAGAAGCCTCCACCCTACAGTTCGGCTTTTTTAAAATCTTAGTTTCTATGTGTAATGAAAAATTTAATAATTTTTTTGAAGTAGTGGCATAAGAATTTTACTAAAGAGTAGAGTTATTTATTAATTGTAATGATTAGAAACATATATAAAGTGATTTATAAGATTTATACTAAAACTTTAAACATTTCTTACGCAGATAGGAAGATATTTGGAGAAATATTTCTGGAACAAAGTTAGTTTGTTTTGTTGTAATGTTGATTTAAACAATTCTTTTTTATAAAATGTTAAGATTTAAATAAATGATAAAAATTTTCTGGATTTAATTTGTCCTACAAAAAAAGGTATCGCTTATATCAAGATTATAAAAGATTAAATGAAATTCAATTCAATTTTTTCTCTCTAAATATTTTTCTATTCATGTAATTTTTTAAAAAAGTTTTATATACCACTTTATAAGTGATAGTTAGGCACTATTTATGATAATTGATAAATACTTTGCATTTTTTGAAAAACCTCTTATGCCACTATGTCAAAAAGTTAAAAAAAAAACTTTTATTTAAGCTTATATTTAAAAAAAACCTCCTGTATTACACAGGCACATTTTGATATATTGCGCTTGCTCATTTCTGCATAGCGGAGGCTCAGTCTGCCTAGCAAAACTGGGAGGCTCGTGTCTGCATAGCAGAGGCTCATGGCGTCCGGGTTCCCTCCCTCGACAGCCTAACCCGGACTCTTCCAATACTATTATATTATAAAGATTTATTCACACACAAAGATATAAATACATATATAAATGGTGTAGTTAAAATTTGTTTAGATAAATTTTTTTTTTTTTTTTTTTTGAAAACACAGGTTTCCAAAAGAAAAGAGAAAAAAATATGCAAAATTATGCACAAATAGAAAACAATGATTTTTACTCACTACATAACATATTAGAACAAGTCAGACTTGAAGATAGAGCAGACAGAACAAGTCAGACTTGAAGATAGAGCAGACAGAACAAGTACATATTACTAGCAGGAAGAGAGAAGCGCCCAGTAAGTATTGTATATTTCTATAATAGTTTCCAGAAATTGAGCTGTCTCAGGCAGAAACCTAGGATTTCACAGATCACGTTGCCCTTGGATATCGGATACTATTCGGCGGCTATAAGCGCCGACTCTATTATATTCAAATCCAAATTAGGTGGAAAAAATAATCAAAACAGCCAAGAGCTATTTTCCACCTAATTGCTTTATATTTGTACTGTTAATATAATCATAAATTTGTATTTGTAAACTCTATCTGTATACAGATACATTTATTTTAGCAATAAACTTTATCTTATCTTATCTTATATTAAGACATTTATGAACGTTCTATGACCACATATACAATTTCGAAATGACTATACTAATTATTAAAAAAATGTGCTTTTACGATTTATAATGACTTGCAATGGGCGCGCTTTAAATTAGCCACTTACTGTAAGTAATCCAACGCCGGGTTGTCATAATAATAATAATAATAATAATAATAATAATAATAANCCCCACTATTATAGCTAGTTAAGCACAAAGTACTAGCTGTATCTATCATTGTACTGCTGTTGCACCACCAGTAGCACTATTCTTCTCTACACTCTTGGTTCCATTTTTATCAGAATCTGATACACTTGTGGTTCCATTTCTATCAGAATACCGCTTCCTATAATGGATAAATTCACGGACACGTACTCGCAAGGGCCACACAGTGGGATCCAAGGCTTTCTCAAGATCTTCAGCTGGAACAGAGATTTTAAAGCTAATAACATTTGATGTTTCATTTGGTTTAGACATCTGCACAATATCGCCAACTGTTATCTTAATATCAGCTTCTTCTAAGTCATCCACAATATCCTGTTTAGTGGTACCTTTAGGAATACCATAACAGAAAATGTCAGCCGGAGGGGATTTAATTTTTCTAATTTTCTCTTGAGTTCTTGTACCAGAGACAACTGGCTTCCCTACATTCCTTCTTTTGTTTTGAGAGTTTATTCCATCATTTAATCCTCTCTTTACACTGGGAGATCTTTCTCTACCTATTCCTGCTCTAAGGGGGACTGTGAGATTCTTTGGTCTTGCCCCTGTACCACTGTAATCATCATTACCTCTAGTTACCGCACTGTACGATTTTGCAGCAAAACTTGGTACAGGATTGACATTGACCTTATCCCAGATACATTGCAATAACTCCATCTTCTTCTCTATTGCTGACATTCTCTCATCCATCATTGCATTTGAGGTGTCCTGAAATGCCTTGACACTAAACTCACTATTTGTCAAAAACTTGGGTATTTGGAAATTGAAAGGAACTGTCACCACAACATTTCCATGCCCAGCTTTATCAATTTTCGATATCTTTTCCCAGAGATCTAGAAAAATGGTAGATATCTTTCGTTTTTCTTGGATATTTCCCTCTGTATCCTGCAGTTGAAAAGCTTGATAAAAATTTGATCTAGAGTTCTTCATCTGTTCCAAGGAGAACTCTCGACTAAGTGTATCCAGAACACAGGTTTTATCAGCAACTCTATCAAAAGCATAAAACATTGATCCTAAAATTCCATCAACTAGAATCATTTTCCCAGACCTTGTATCTTTATAAAGAAAGCCTTGATGACTGACTTGTTCCTTTACAGTGGTCTCACTATCCATTTCCTCCAGGGAAGTATTTAAAGAATTATCCAAGGATTTTTTGGGTTTTGGCCCCATTTTCGCCACAAGATTGGCGAAAGCCAGATTATATATAGAATCTTCCAGAATTCTATGAATGTACTTTAAAGTTGTGTGAAAGCCTTGAATTGAGAAAGCAGTGTGTAAACTGCCTAAAACACTCTTACAGAGAGATGTTTACTACTCAACTGTCCGGCCCGTTGGCATAGCATCTATCTATCTATTATGACTTGTAAGAAGAGACCACAAACCCACGCTTTAAGCAATCCCGTTAGCATACAATTGTACGCAGTCAGGAATGGCTGTTAGCATGACATCGTGCAATGATTTATGCCCACGCAGGTGGGAGAACATACTGCCAATGGCCTTATGTGCTCACGACTTAAAATCCCAGCCAAAAGGTGTTAATAAATTTTCATATACTCGTTCCCAGCTAGGCTCGAGTTCCATGAGCAGAATAAAATCTCAATGGCTTCAATGGTTCCCAGCTAGACTAGAGTTCCATGAGCAGAATAAAATCTCAATGGCTTCAATGGTTCCCAGCTATGCTAGACTTAGAGTTCCATAAGCAGAATAAAATCTCAATGGTGGTGTTTTAGCTGAAACCACAGCTACGAAAGTTACCAGCATTTTTTTCCATCTGCTTACCCACCTTATCCCTGTTGCTTTTATCCAACATTATTGTTATTGCTTTTATCCAACATTATTGTTATTGCTCCCGGTGTTACCTGTTGTATTGTGTTGGTTACAGAATCACTAGGTTGGAGCTCAGCAGGTGCAGCTGCAGATAGTACTACTCCGTTAGTGTTCTCATTTCCTGTCAATTAATCAATTAATCAATCAATCCAAGTGAACAGTTTATATGTATCAATATTCAATAAGTTAATCAGTTTAACCAATGAATTGATCAACAAATTAATCAATTTGCTTTACAAACAAACTTAAATAATTATTATTTAAAAAAAGTTAGGCAAGCAAATCTGTATCGCCAATAAACCTATTGACCGGTTACAAACCTTACAAACCTCTAGATCATCCAGTGATATATCAAAAAAGGTCAAAAAATAAATCAATAGTATAGAAGTTTGTTATCATTTTATCATTCCAAGCAGATCAGTTAATAAAAGTTGTATCCCTACAATTTGTAAGATCTGAGGATCTTTTAAAAACTATCATGTGGTCAGGGTGTTCAACGTCGAGAAGTTCTCCAACTCGTTCAACAGAGAAATCCTAGCATCACTATACTAATCCAACAAATCTATACAAATACATCGAATCTACAGTTATTCTTGAAACGTTCAAAAAATTAATTTAAGATTTTAATGTAAGCCTATTTTATATCTCGACCTTGAGTTTAATAATTATGGATAAATGTTTTTATAGAACTGTAAAAAGTTTTAAAAATGCAAACTAGTCTAAATCTAAATGTCTATTAACCTGGAGAAAAGTTATTATTTAAGGCTAACAATTTTATTGTTGAATGCAATTAAAATAACCGGACTGATTTATTGTGTTTTCAGTTCACGGTTGAGTCCTGTATAAACTGCCTACCTGATATATATATATAAGATATCAATCAGTGCAAATTGAGGTGAGCCGAAGAGAAAGAGTTCATGCTCGCTCTTATGTTTGTAACAAACCAACCTAATTAAGCACACAATTTCTCTACACTGCACTCCAGCCTACCTGCTGACGTATTCAGGTTGTCCCCTTTATCTCCGCCTGTTCCTTTGTTTTGGAATCGTTTATTATCCGAACTGTACTGCGTGTACTGCTGGTATTGAGGGTGGAAGTTGTGTATAGCGTCAGTCATGATGTCACGTGGGTTCATCGTCTCTCTGATTATATAAACACACTTCAGTAAAATTGACGGTGAACAGACAGTTTTACCAGCAGATATAGTTTATAACTAATATAAAGTCTGTACAATCTACTTCAGTTCGTTAGCCATTTTGATAAAGACATCCCTTCAAATATCTACTATAACTAAAAACGATTATTTCTTTAAGATTTTATTTAAAACAAGAGAATCCCTTAGAACTAAATTTTATTTGTTAAAAACTTTTTAATTAACTGTCATTTTGGTGATAAAACCCTCCCATAACCGTTATTTTGATTAGAAAAGAAGATTAGTTCCTTATTTTGATAATAAATGAGAAGAACAGAACCTTTAAACGGTCACTTTAATCAAATTAACAAGAAAATCTTCTGAAAAACACAGACCCTTCGATAGAAGTAATTCAAACTGTCATTTTTATAAAAACAGCAATAACAATACTAGTAATAAAACCTAAAAACAGACATTTTGAAAAAAAAAACCAGTCACAGTTCCTTTAAAATATGAGTGAGATTAGTTCCTGAGTGTGGAGGAGATACTCTGCATTGTCACATTTCTTCCTCCTTCAACTCCACCAGTTCCTTAACATTTTTATAGTTATTTAAAGTTATTTTTATCTCAGGCTAGTGCCACCTTTGGCCGCTAGGGGGAGGGAGGAAAGACCCACTCCACCTTTTTTTCGTCCGACCACAAATGACGTCACAATTTACAATTGTTTACATTATTTTTTAAACTTTAAAGTACTTCACATTATTATATATTCGAACTTTGAGCCTCGCTATGTTGTTTATAATGGTTTCAAATATTTTATTGTTTTTTTAAAGAGGAACATCTTATATAGTAGACATAAAACAGTTCATGAAAATTTGTATTTAATAATGCCTCAAGTAAATCAAAACCAATTGCTGTTTCCTGATAAAATAAATATGAATTTTTAGTTTTAGATTCTAAAAATCCCAGCAACTATTACCTATAAGTTGTAGGTTAGGAGTAAAATAAGAAAACAAGAGAAAATATATGGTGTGGTCCCGACGAAAATTAGATGCGAGACACATATTTTCCGTTTTTTTTTTGCTAAATTGGGCTTAAATATCGGTTTATTTTTCAAACTAAATGCATTTTAAATAAAACAAAATCATAATAAATAACATAAATTTGAAAAAAGTGTTATAATGCTGAATTGTGACGTCATTTGTAGTATGCGGACGAAAAAATGGCGTGGTTTGCCTTACCCAGCTCCTAGGAGGTTACATTTGAAGAAGTTTCTAGTGGGGTGTACACTGTGCATTATGTAAGGTTAACAAAATATTTCCTCTAATCTTTTTTGTTAAAAAAATGCATAATTTTCTCTCGCTTCCACATGTTTAGTTTCTATACCTTCTCCCGTGTAGACAGATATTGGGAATGCGTATCGCATGGCAATGGCCGCAAGGAACATCTCTACGCAAATCAGAAAGTTCTGAAACCCTAAACAAAAAACTATAACAGAACACTTAAAAATATAATCATCCGTTGAACCAAAAAAGTATGATATTATAAATTAAATCTTCCCCAGTATTCCCAATGCTAAATAAATTGCCCCTCCCGCCGTGCCAAATAAGAACTAGATATAAGTAATTTGCAACAGTTCTCTATTTGTCTAAATAATATGTAAAATCAATATAATTTTTAATGAATTCTTTTTATTCAAATGAAAAATTTAAAAGATAACTTGAATTAAATATTAGTTTAATACTTCATTACTCCAGATGATGGATTTAAATATAAATAGACAGATACATAGATAATAGATATAGAGAAATACAGACAGACAGATATATACCTGCGGAGACAGTTCCTGATTGTGTCTCTGTAACTCCATCCTCTGTGATGATCGCCTCAATGATCGTCAGTTTCTCCAGGATCGCCAGCAGTACTCCTGATCAGAGAATACGATCGTGACGAAGTTTACATCAGTACAATCAGTTTGATCACTAACAATACTTCTCTCAATTGGAGAAGTTTTGAATTTTGATCTTACATAAATACTTCAGAAAAATTCTCCTAATGAGATAATCATTGAAATATTATCAATGCATTAAAAAAAATTGATCATTTCAATATTGCATACAGATCATTTAAAGTTTTGATGTTTCTAATAAAATAATAATAGCTGATGATTTTTTTATATTTAAACATGTTTAGTTTTCCCACCTTGCCAGAAAGAGAGGAAAATGACAGACTTGATGGTGAAGAACTTGATGACAGGGTCGAAGGGCCTGAGGAGCTCCCTGGTGGCGAAGTAGAAGAGGAACAGGGCGTAGAGGGCAGCAGAGATACTAGAAACAAAATGGGCATTCATAAACTGTATAAAACGGTAAATCTAAAGGGACTGCTTTCTTAGTATTTACAGAATGACACTTGTCAATTGTCGGTTTTTTTTGTTGTCTTTAATTCATAAGTTTATGAAAAATACACTTGTTATGAAAACACCAGCCCCCAAGTTAATTTTTCTTATAACTTCAAAACCAAAATCTCTCTTTCTCGATAGAGATTGAAAGGGTAGCGTGGAAATGCAATCCTAAAATGTACCTAACTTGAAGGGGGGAGGGGTTACCTGGCGTTGTAGATGAGTGTGATGTAGAGATATCCCTCACTAGGAGTCCAGTCTCCATCATGGTACAGACCTGAAAACAAAACAAAATTACATTTATATTTTCAAATGGTTAGAAAATCCTGTCCATGTTGTTTTAAAGATAACTTAGCTTTTAGATGAAAAAAATGTGCTTTTGCCTTCCTTGTGATAGGAAAGAGATGTTAAGGATTAAGTTTTTTGAAAAAGGTCTTATTTTTATGATCTAAGAAAATAAAAAGCACAAAAAATGATGTTTACCGTATGACTGGAGAAAGATGGTGATGATGGACATGGCTGGCTTGATGATACAGAACTGAAGAGTCCCTTGCTTACAGAACCTTATATAAAAAAGTTGAAAAATGGCCAATTTCAGGTTTTTAAAATCTTTTTTTTCTTTAACAATTCAACCAGTTTTTTAAATAATAAAAAGTTGTTGAAAAAGATATGGAGAGTTGAGTTACTTCATGCACTATTGTGGCTAAGATTGAACTAGCCAAACCTAGTTTAACTATATGAGTCTATATCTCCCTAATTCAAATGAAATAAAGAATTTATTAAATCTAACTTGAGATAATGTACCTCTTTTCGGCAATATTGATTTTAACAGAAAAATAAAAAAGTAAACAGAGAGGTTTTCGAGTTTTTGACATAGTTTTACGCCAAACGTAAGCATTATACTTCAAGAAAATACTTAAATGTACCCTACTAAAATTAAAAACTTTATTCTAGAGCACATTTTTGAGTCATTTTAAAAGGTAATGGGGGCTTAAAAGGTTAATTCCTGTTTTTAGAGGAGCACCCTGCATTGATCTAAAATCATTTCTTTCTTGAAATCCATAAAGAGAAGAAACTGAATGTTATTGACACATTTTCCTTTAATAGACTTCTTTAGCCAGCTACCCCATTTCAGATCTACTTCACATGTTAAATATCGATTTTCAGTTTAAACCCTAATCCGAACATTTATTTCTTATTCTTTATCGTATTTTTATTCGTTTGATTGTCTGGCACAATCTAAGATATTCTATTGATATGTGGGCGCAACTGATTTAAATGGAGAGTGGAGGGGGGGAGGGGATTACTAAAAAACTGATGGATAAAAGCCCTTCTCCAACCAGTCAGTGCTGATAAAGCGACATCTGTCAAGTGGCAAAATCTAAGATATTCTATTGATATGTGGGCACAACTGATTTAAAGGAAGGAGGGAGAAGGAGGTAGAAGGGGGGGGGGGATATTACTGAAAAACTGATGGATAAAAGCTCCACTCCAATGTGCATTTGTCTGTCCAATGCATGTAAAGCGAAGGAGAGTTTAGACTTTATAAAAGTGTTTGACGAAAAGGAAAAAACATTTTGAAATATTTATTTATGAACGGACATCCCATATGTAGTAAGACGAGACAAAGATAGCTAGAGAGATATTTAAACCGAAAGCTAAATAGATAGTTAGCTTGATAGAACGATAGATAGATATATATAGCTAGATAGATAAATATATAGATGGATAGATAGATAGATAGATAGATTCTTACCCTGAACTTGAATGAGTATTGTTAATTATTTTTTGTCCTCTTGTGGCAGCCTTCGAGCTGAAATATGAAATCTTTATCAACGGTAAAATAGAAACTATAATAATGTATATAATGATAATCATAATAATAATAATAATAATAATAATAATAATAATAACCTGAGAAAGCTAATGTTGTAGCTTTGACCGGCAAGACAGCATGTACAGTACCAGTAGCTAGACTTGATTGGCTTCCCTCTTATCTCCGTCATTATGTTACCCTCACCACCTGAAAAATATTACTTAATTTTTTTAGGTTAGTCTAGACCTATTTTTTCATTCTTTTTGGGAGTACATTTCTAAAAATTTGAAAAATTTGAGAAAAAAAAAATAATTTGTTGTCAATTTTTGTCCGTAAAACCCAAATTTTGCAATAAAAAACGCGTATTCGGGAAAAGCTTTTTAAAAATAAAACAGCCCAAATCCCTACCTAGATACTCATAGCAGAGACTGAGAAAGTTGTAGATGACGAATGCTTCATAGCAGTCCCGGATAGCATTGAAGTAGACGTAGTAGTTGTCATAACTAAAAGAAACAAAATTAATAAATTAGACGAGTATTAAGCATACTTTAAGCAAAAAAAAAACACACAAAATTGTTTAAAAGTTTATAAACGCAGAAACCCACAAAATTCATCAGTGGAAAAACCCTAGACACATTGATGTAAATGCGTAAACGGAAACAATAAACAGTATACGCACTATCAGTATGCACAGTGTACACTGTGCAATGCAATATATTACCTGAAGAACATTTGACTGAGCCAGGAGGTAAATGCGTAAACGGAAACAATAAACAGTTAACGCACTATCAGTATTCACAGTGTACACTGTGCAATGCAATATTTTACCTGAAGAACAAAAGACTGAGCCAGGAGGTAAATGCGTAAACGGAAACAATAAACAGTTAACGCACTATCAGTATTCACAGTGTACACTGTGCAATGCAATATTTTACCTGAAGAACAGTAGACTGAGCCAGGAGGTAAATGCGTAAACGGAAACAATAAACAGTATACGCACTATCAGTATCCAGTGTACACTGCAATGCAATATTTTACCTGAAGAACAGTAGACTGAGCCAGGAGGTAAATGCATAAACGGGAACAATAAACAGTATACGCACTATCCATCTCTGCTCTGCTGGGTTAGTATAGTACCTAAACAATATTTATTTACAGGGTGCCCCACATTATATTGGATCGTAGAAAGCTCTAAATTAGGATTTTTTTTAAATAAAAAAAATTGCACAAGGTTAACAAAATTATAAATGATAAAAGACATTTGTGTATGGTTATTTTCAGAATTATTAAATTATATCTCCTAGAAGTTTCAAACATAAGACACATAAGTGTTTAAACAAAAAACCGAAACCAAGATACCTACGCTCACTATTGACCAGAGTGACCGTCAGGGTGAGTTGTTCCCCAGGTCCAATTTTTCTTCTTCATAAGTTAGATATATATTAGTAGATACCATTTATACCAATTAGAACTTCTGGGAGGTTGGAAAATGTAGCGAATAAATGGTTTGAACAAATTTCATTTAAAAATAATTTCTACTATCAAAATGATTGAAATCCGTAAGAAATGCGCGAAATTTTGGATAAAAATCCGCGAAAATTTTCAAAACAGTACACAAAATGACGAACTGTTTGCATAAAATATACGAATTCTTTAGCTAAACTTGACTTCGCAATTAATTCAGTGGCAAAAGAAACAAACTGCATATTGTCAGTATCTAAAAAGCGTTTGCAAGAGGAGGACGGAATTTACTCGCCCACCCACCATGTAAATTTCTTTTATTCAAACGAAGTATCAAATGAGGGGTTTCATTTTCTCATTCATGCGTTAATTTTGTAAATGTTCGGTTTCAAACAAGTGTTTTAGTAATAATATGTTGGGGTTAATAAAAGAATCAAATAATGTAGAAGATTCTAATGACCTTAATTGCAGTTATTGCTGGAAGCTTAGAGAGCTAAATGAATATTTCAATTTTTTTTGGCGTGGCCATTTCCTGGGTATCCACAGCAATAAGTCTGGCTTGTTGCAATCATTGTAGGACGGATTATTCTGTCTCCGAATTGGCAGTAAAGCAAAGATTTTGATAGGTGATGAATCATTGAATTCTATGTTTATTTTGTCACTGATATGCTGAAGAAGGCATGTGAAGCAAAGAATTTGTATTTCTCTCGAAGTATCTCAAATTCTCAAAACGAAGAGAGAAACTGCAGTTTATCTCCCACAATTTGGTAAAAAGTCGACTAAAATTCAAAAGATTACTCCTGCTATTGAAACCAAGATCAAATGCTTCGTCTGGAACCAGTTTAGTGTTCAAGTGGCCAACTATCCTAATGTTATTTGCAACAACTGTCACAGAAACCACTATGATCTTGACAAGAACAAGGTGAATACCTGGGAAACTGGATAGAGAAAATATCAAAGGTAAATATAAGTTTTTTTTTTCAAGTATAAGCACAATTAGATGCTTTATAAGTTGGGGCAAAATTTGAAATAACCATAATAATCAGCATCTATTTCTAATATATGAAGAAATGAAATGATAATCTCTGATTGGTTATGTCCGATCATAACTCAGGAACCCCTCAATTAATTTGCCTCAAATTTTGGTTGGGGAACTCTGTAGAACCATAGGAATGTCTTTTTGTGGTTTAATTATTTAAAGTTAAGTGGGTTGACTTTAATTTCCAGTCAAAGAAAGGTTCCAAGCTAGTTTCATATATAACTATATATTTAACTAACTTGAGAATCCAGCTTGGCCTAGAGTTTTCCAAATAAAAATCAACCCACTCAACTAAAAAAAAATCTAAACCAGGCTAAGAGAATTCCCGTGGTTCAAGCGAGTTTCCTAATTCAAATCTGAGTCAAATCGGACCAGGGGTTTATGAGTTATGATCGGACATACAAACAAACAAACAAACAGATAGACAAACAGAGATTATTCTACTTTATATACATACATAGATGATGTTTCTCTTCTGTTTATAAATTAATCTTTCTTCGAGTATTTAAAGTCAAAGTATAAGTATTTACTAACTAAAAAAAAATTTATTTACTGTGTTAAAAAAATATTGGATGTCATTAAAATACTTGATATGTTTAGATTGACAGATCTGTTAATAGAAGATCCTCAAATATAAATCTGAAAGCTGAAGAATTGGCTTCATCTAATGTATCTTTTCCTAAACCTGTAAAGTCTTCAAGATTATGTTCAACTTGCTGTTCTATTGCTCAGTTTATGGCCTTTGTTTGAGAGCTGGTTGAGCTCAAATTACATAATGTTCAGAGGATATCAAGGTGTAGGATTAGATGGAAATAATGCTAGTAAGTTTCTGAAACTGACAGACAAGCTTGAAGATGATTTAAAAACGATAAAAAGTACAACCTATTGCCAATTGTTCACTGTCTGAAAAAGTTTCAAAAACTTCAAGCAGAAACCTTTGGTATGGTAGTTGGAGAAAATGTGGAAACTGCTGTTCAAGAGTTCAAACAATTTTATAAAGATTTGATCGAATATGTTCAAAACACATTTGATGGTGTTGAGCTGAGTGTCACCTGGAAAGTTCATATAATGTCATATATTACCATTTCTTCAATCAACAGAACATGGCCTAGGTGTTTACTGTGAACAAACAGGAGAAACTATTCATCATGAGTTCAAAAAAACATGGAACAGATACAAACGAAGAGTCAATCATGAAGATTATGCAAAACAGTTAAAACCCAGTGTTGTTGAATTTGCAGCACATAATATTAATTAGATGTATCATGTAGCAGTTAAAAATGTAAATATTTCATGTTGATTAGTTTCAGAATACTAACTTATCTTATACATGAGTCGTATTTTTAAGTATAAAAGAACATTTAACGTTTATGATGTGTTATATAGCTTATAAATACACTATTATCATTAATTCTATAGAGAAATTTCGTGGATTTTTAATTTTCAAAAAATCTTAAAATTTCCAATCTCCCAGAAGTTCTAAATGGTATAAATGGTATCTACTAATATATATCTAACTTGAAAAAGAAAAATTAGACCTGGGGAACAACTCACCCTGACGGTCACTCTGGTCAATAGTAGCTACCAATCGACTGACTAATTATCCAACCATCCCATAAATCCACCATCCAACCAACCAACCATCCTACCAACCCACCAATTTGCAACCCACCAACCTACCAACCCACCAACCCACCCAGCAACCAACCAACCAACCGACCAACCAACCAAGCGACCAACCAACCAACCCACCTGAGATACTGATATATCTGATGACAAGATATGAAGAGTGCTGCCCAAACACATGCTCCTGCTACACCCTTGGCTAAAAACAAAAGATAGCTATAGATCTACTGCAAATAAATCCAACAAATCCCAACCCTACTCTCTCCTACTAGAGTTGAATCATTTTCTTTGTAATATGTTTCGCCAAAAACTTAGTACTTACATGTTCGAAGAATACTGAGTAACTCAATATATTTACATTTAGATTTTAATTGCTACCAATAAGAGTAGAACTACAGAGGGGTATGGGTTTGTTTTGACAGTTTAGAAGCTAGTTATTTTGAAAACTAAACCGAAATTTTTTTAACATGGCTTATTTTCGTCTATTAAATCAAATTAAGTGGAAATCTGAAAGGGAACCCCAAAGTTGTACCCCCTGGACTGCTTTCAGGGCGCAGTTCGCCACCGTGCAGGACAGCACGTAGCGTGGCATGGAATATGTAGTCTGTTCAAAATAAAACCTTTCCAATATGTCACAGTACCTTTCTTCTCATACTTCTTGGCTTTGCAAAATAGAATTTTTCATTCTTTTTCTTTTTATCTTACTGTATTGAAACCCCCCCCCCCCCTATTGCATCATTTACCTGATTTGGTCTGTAAAAAAGCAAAGCTGGCTGTGTTGTTATTCTGAGTTGTATTTATACTTATATTTCCAGAGTTCACGTCATCATTCAAGCTCTAAATACAGATTAATTGTATTCTATGTTGTATTTATACTTATATTTCCAGAGTTCACGTCATCATTCAAGCTCTAAATACAGATTAATTGTATTGTGAGTTGTATTTATACTAATATTTTCAGAGTTCACGTCAATATTCAAGCTCTAAATACAGATCTATTGTATTAAACAATAATTGCCAAATTATTTAATTTGGGCAAATCAGACCTATTAAGCATTGATGGAGACTGGAGAGCTAAACGGAATAATATTGATTAAAGATGTACACAATACACCTATACTAACGCATGTTTGTACTGTCGATCTAGGGTTCTAATAAGCTTTTTACCAATATTTGAAAATAAAAATTGATAAAAATATAAAGTATATAAATTACCTGCATTACTTTGGATACGGCATCTGTTACCGCTGTCTTTGTCAGTTTGACAAAATTGGTGCTGTTTGACTCAGCTGTCAAATCATATGTCCCGTTAACTGTTGAATCCATTGTTAGCGCTGTCAACAACACTTCACATACTCATGATTTTCATCTGTAACATATCAGTCTGTTACACATGACTCAATATTACAAACAGGGATGATTCATTCTTTTAAGAATAAAAAGATTCTATTTTGTTAGTTTTGGATTATTATTCAGTTAAAAATATTTGTTTTTTATATTAAACCCTGTTTTCTTATCTAGTAAATACCACATAAATTAATACTTGAAGGGAATGTTAAGGTAACTCTAAATGATTCATAAAAAAGTAATAAGTAATTTACTGTCAAGGTGAAAGGTGAGAATGAGCAAAATTGCGCAGAGTCATATAAATATTGTTTCTCTATAAACAATCCTGCGTACGCTTATTTTTTCCTAATCCTACATCACCTTGGTTAGTTGATACATATGTATAGTACTGTGTAAGTAAATAAATAACAAACGAAATATCACAATAAAGAATATTTATCACAGAATTAATAGAACTGAAATCCAATTGCTTAAATTTTCTGAACTAAGCTAAAAAATCACAACACGGACGAAATTCAGATTAAAAAGGTGGCCACAATAATTTCGAATCTAAAATTTTAACATGTAGGAAAAGACGATGAAATCACGGTTGCCATATTTTATTTAAGCCTAGCAAAGAGGCTCATGTACGGTGGTAACTTACCACTGTACATGAGCCTCGTTTTGTAACCAGAAAACCGTGTAATTTCTTGATTAAACGAAAAACGGAAGACGACAATCATTCCAAAATTTTCTGGACTCTACTGTATAAGCTTCATTCATATCTTCAAAGTGAAAACTTCCCCTGTCAGGGGGCAAATACTCTTGTTTACAATACAGTCAGTATGCACCAATACACCGTTGGGATAGCGAGATATAGAGCCGTCACCAAATCCCTAAATATTAAACCAACCTTTATATTTGATCTTTGTCTTGATGACTCCTTGTATGTGTCTCTCTATGTCCCTGTGACTATGTCTTTAAGTTCTATTATTTCTGTCTTGATGTCTCCTTGTATGTGTCTCTCTATGTCCCTGTGACTATGTCTTTAAGTTCTATTATTTCTGTCTTGATGTCTCCTTGTATGTATCTCTCTATGTCCCTGTGACTATGTCTTTAAGTTATATTATTTCTGTCTTGATGTCTCCTTGTATGTGTCTCTCTATGTCCCTGTGACTATGTCTTTAAGTTCTATTATTTATTGATGTCTCCTTGTATGTGTCTCTCTATGTCCCTGTGACTATGTATTTAAGTTCTATTATTTCTGTCTTGATGTCTCTTTGTTAGGCCTGTACCAAACGCCTTACTCCAACTCCAGATACAGCACTCTCTGTATTCTCAGTATGTATCGTCCAATTAATCTATATTTAAATTAATGATGGGTTTTATAGTACAGGTTAATAATATGGACCGATAGGTTCGTCTAGAAATTAATGAACGTAGTAAGGGCACAATTTGATAACGTAATATATATAGGTATGTTCACTGTTCAGGTTTACAAAATATGGGATGTGTTACAATATTTATTACAGGCCTTCTCTTTGTATATTTTCAGTCCATTTGTTTCTCTGTCGTTCTGCCAAATTGTCCATTTGTCTCTCTGTCGTTCTGCCAAATTGTACATTTGTCTCTCTTATCATATGTCCTTAAATGTCTATAGGATTCTAGATCTCTTTGTTCCGTGTCTGTTTTTGATCCTCTGTCTATGTCTCTCTCTTTGTACCATTCTGTTCCCCAAGCTTTAATTTTGTTATTTAGTTTTTCTCCCGTTTTGGTTGGTTTTATGTCAAACGCTAAATGAAGATAAAGGTTGATTTCCTTTTTACAAGTACAGCAGTAGTAGTTAGGTTGAATATGGACAGCACTTGAGGATAGATTTGTAAATTCAAGTTTTACATTCTCATTTTCAACCTGGACATCAAAGTAAATAAATATAATTTAATTCTGAGGCCGAATTTAAAGAATTTGAGCCGCGGCTCAAATATAGTTGGTTCTATTTAAAATCGTATTTAATGTTTAGAGATTTAACTTAGTTATTTTGTAAAATGAACTAAAAATGGTAAATATGTGCAAACAATTATATAGAAATAATTTGGAGAGTCCGTCTCTTTAAAATTTAATTTTGAAAACAAAAAGTATGAGATACAGAAAACACTAGAAAAGATTACATATATTGGAAAAGATTGTTCAATAAATAAGAGAAACCAGAGCTGGGAACTTTTGAATGGTGGATATCGGGATTAAGGCTTAATCCACTCTTTTTCTTAATCTCCAGATTAACATAATCTTGCAAGATTATCTTAAAAGTGTATGAAAAACGATAAAATTCAAATTAATATTTAATCATCTGAGAAACTGTAGAAGCCAATCAGAGAAAAGCGGGCAACCAATGAGAGAACAGAAATATTCTCATTGGTGAAAAAAATTAACGGATATCCAAGTAGAGAGAAAAAGAGTGGATTAAGGACTAAAATGAAAAGTTTCCATAGTGGATATTCGGATCAAGAAGTCAGGATTAAAGTTTATCCATTCTAAAGTTTTCAGCTCAGGAAAACATAATTGGTAGACATAAGTATTTAAAACCAAATCAAATCAAATCAAATCAAACCAAACCATAAGTTTTTAAAAGCATACCTTTCTTAGCTGTCGTGTTATTTTTAACATCCTTGATTCATGCATTCGTTGTCGCATAAATACTCGCAGGGCAGGCAGTATACAAGCAATATTCCACCCGGCAGGCAGCTGACTTAGAACCTAGATAAAATTATCATTTTTTAGATGCGTTTTTTTTCAAAAAATGTTGGTTCGATAAAATTAAAATTTGACGGACACTCTTACTTTCCAAATTTGAATAGATTAAATTAAGCCAGTGCTTAGGTTAGATTCGTAACATTTTAGCTTCCTGGGTCCGAATCCGCAGAAATATGCGGATCCAGCAAAATTTCAACCAAAACATTCAAACCTTCTTAGTGAAATTGAATGGTAAAGCAAGATTCTGTTTAAAAAACACACACATCAAAAGAAGAAGAAAATTTTTGATACTTATTTTGGGTAAAAGGAATAGCCATAATTTATAGAAATATTCATAAAATAAATCCGGATCCCTTTTTTCTGGAGTAATCCTGGATCCAGATCTCCGAGAACACTAGAATCTGAGCTGAAAACTATAGTACTGGATACCCTTAATCCCAATTGTTAGATCTCGATATCCATTGTGGACACTTTTGATTTTTTGCTTAATCCTTTTAGATATCCCTGCTGGGATCTTTCTAATGAGATTTCTTTAATAAATTGCGCGCAAAATTTATCGGCTTCTGCAATTGATCTTCTGATTGGTTGCGTTTTAGACACTTTTCTGGATATTAATGTAAGATTAAATTCCTCTGAAGTATTGGACCAATCGGATAAAGTAGACCTTCAGAATGGACCAATAGCTCTATTATTATTATTGTTAACAAGCAACCTACAGACAAAGTACCATGACCTGAAGGTTATTATTCAATAAAAACAGGATTGAGATGAAGATACCTGTATTCCGTCTAGATCTTCAGCTCTGGAATTTATCAGATCTACTGCCTAAAAGTTAAATATAAATATTTATATATTTCAAATTTAAATCATATTTTGTACAAGATAAGTCATGCATTAGAAGCATAGAGAATAGAATATTTAGAGAGGAATTAAAAGAATCTCTCGGTATGAATTTTTTCAGTCCCTTTCAGCCTGAAAGGGAGTTCAAAGTGTACAAATAATGTAAATGTTCACAAATTATATGCAGTAGAGTACATTAATACAGTATGTTCCCTAGACAATCCATTTCAATTTCGAATTTTTTAAACTGTTAAATAAACTTTATAATGAATTAGGTGAATAAAAACATCATTTGATTTATAGTTATAACGGAAAATCATCGTTTGTAAAGTGGAAGGCATAGAGTCTATGTAAAATGATCATTGATCAATTATGAAACCAGCCTATTTCATAATTTGATTTTCTATAAAATGATATTCCAGGGCCCAACAGGTTATATAGCATAAATATGTGAAGTACACCTGCAGTATGGAAACAGTACAACAAAATGGCCGTTTTACACTTTTTTCTAGTAAATTCCTCTCTATATATTCTATTCTCTATGATTAGAAGTTAAATATTCAGTTAGATTAACTGATTTACTGAAAAAGTAAAAGAATAATAACCACAAAACTAACAATGATATTTAAAATGATTAACAAGTTTATCAAAACAGATTTAAGAATATAAAACAGAAGAAAAAACTTCTAAATCAAATCTGAGTTTCAGGGATTTCCAACTAACCACGCCTCAATCTCAAGAGTCAAGATGACTTTACTGAATTAAGAACGAGTTTTGGTCTTTCAGCTTGTGATACCACAAGAGAACTATAATTTAAAGATAAATTGTTATTACCTTGACCAAAAAATCCTCCTGATTTGATGGTTGAGTAGGGTTCAAGTAGGTATCGAGTAGTAGAGATAGAATACGTTGTTTATCCTAAATAAAATCAAGGATTCAAAATGTGATGAAAAAAATCAAACTTAAAACCTTTAAAGAGGTATAAACAATTAAATGCATTATTACAAACTGTTCTCTCCTCGAGATTGATCGACCGAACACCTTATTATTCTAAGCTCTAAATCTTGACCAATTACAGATCAAATATTCACATCAGAGGCCAAATTTTAAGAATATGAACCGTGTCGCTAAACCGCCCATCACCGATTCCATTTGAGCGCCGGCTCATATATGTGAACACTGATTAATATTTCAGGTTGGATCAACCATGTTTGAACCGCGTCAAAATTTTTTTTAATTCGGCCTCAGGAGAAAGTCTGATTTTAACACAGTTTGGCAGAACTATGATTTGCCATCCACCTATTTGTCACATTATCCAACAATTTAACTAAAATAACAAAAACCAAAAAAAATGGAGAAAAAATATTTTTCTTTTCAATATCAATAAGATTTGCTATGCAAAATAATGGTTTCTATCACCTCTCTAGGTTTCCCAGCAGCAATATCATCACAGAACTGAAGAGCTAGAGTGTTATCATTCAAACTGTTCAACAGAATATCCAGAGCCTAGATCATACATCAAATATAAATAAGTCAATTAAATTCTATGATAAATCAATCACTAATTATGAGTAAGAGATCATGTTTATGTAAAGACTACTGAATAATAGATGAAAATAAATGCGATTTTACCAACAAGACAAGGATCAACCCAGACCGAAATATATAATACAGAGGTTTGGTCCATCACCATCACCGAATTTTAAACTTTTAAAATTAATCAAACAATCAATCAACCAAGCATCAAAAAAAGAATGAAATGATAAATCAAAATCAATCAGATAATCAATCGGTAAATCAATGAAGTTATCAATCATTCATGTCAAAAAACTGTCAAAAGGATATTCAGGATTAATTAGCGACATTATTATTTTAACTCTCTTGTGAATTTAAATCTATTTACCCGATCGTATTGAGCAAGGCGACCATATAAAATTGCTCTTTCATACAGAAGATCTGTTTCTCGCAGCTTATCTAAAACACAGATTAAAGATTCAAGTTCAGCTACCATTAAATGATAAAATTATTAAGCCATTTCAATTTAAGACATTTATCTTTACCAGAGAATTAAATAATCCCACCAACATAATTTTGACATTTGCTTTTTTATTTTTGAATCTGACCAAATAAAACTTTTGAAGTTTTAAAACTAGAATTGCTTCATTCATCTATAAATACTTACCAATAAGAAACTGGGTGTTTAATTTGGTCGAGGTAAGAATCAGTTTTCTTAAATACAATTCAATCAATCAATCAATCAATCAAGTAACCATCCAACCAACCAATCATTCAATACATAAACTAATAAAATAATAAATAAATAAATCAATCAATAAGGCTTTATATTTATTGAATTGTTGGTCCCTTAATTTCTCTATTCCATCTCCAGTCTTATGGGATTCAACTAGCATCAACGCCAGCAATGTGTGGTGCTTCTCAACCTAATTTTAAACAGCTGTTTTAATCTTAAAATATTATCTGATACATTTGTTGATTTATACCTTGATAAAAGGGAATGTAATTTTTCAAGTGACCCTCAATTTAGGGTCATGTCTGGATCTACAATGATACCCTTAAGAAGATATCGTCGATTTTAATCCTAAACCCTGAAGAACTGTTGACAATTTACTTCATTTTCTCTACTGCGCAAAATCTGTACAAAATAATCAATTTTTAGATTCAAAAAGACTATCTCATTCGTCCTTGATCAATGATTGTAAAGGGTACCGTTGTGAATCAAACATAGTAACTTTTTAATCCATTTTATTTTTATATCCTTGTGTTTCCTGTCGTCAATTTAAATCTTTTCATTGTTGGTCGAATTTTATGCTTAACTCACTTTCGCAGAGAACCCGCAAATGAAAACAAACAGCTGAAAGGAACGTAAACAAGGATAACTCATTCATCCTTAATAACAAAGCTTTTAAGGGTACCGTTGTAAATCAGGCATTGGCATCTTTGCATGGAGGGTCACTTAAAATTACGCTTACAGTCCCTTTAACCGAACTAATAGAATTGTTTATATGTTTTGTTTGCATTAATTTGTTAATTTATTGATATATTTGAATTTTTCTTCTACCTGAGAATTCTTCTCAAATACTAGATCCTCCAAGAAGAGCTGTCTTGCTTCCTTATACTTACTGCAATAATATATATCTGTAAAACTTTCTGTCTTCTATTTATCAGACAATTGATCACTCTAAACATCCATGCCTATTTGCTCCAACAATAAAGTTGGCATTGTAGCGAATACATGCATTACATTGCAACAAAGTTCTAGCCTGCAGCAACTCTCTTTTAATAAGACAATTTTTTAGTTTTAGATGTTAATTCAATTTTGAGTATTTGTAGTTTGTGTCGTGTCTTGCACTAAAACAACGATTGTTTTAACTTATTTAAAGCTGCAATAGATCAAATCACACAAATTTTAAATCCCCCACACCCCCCCCCCACAATTTTTTTTATTTTTTTGCCCGACATTTTTTCTTGATATATATTCCTGAGTATGTTTAAGGTTCGTTCGATGAACTCCTCCTTGTCTCCGTCCTTGTGCCAGGTGAACACCTTGACTCCGAGCCCCTGATCCTGCTCCAGGATACTGTCAGAATACTTCCAAACCAAACCTGTCGGCATCTCACTCAATCTCCTAAATAACGTTTCGTTCGAAATTAGAAGATAAAAACAATGCTTGGGATCATTTGATTTTGATGCATGCCCGGATTCAACTCTTAATAATTTCTGACATGTTTAATTTCAAAAAATAGATTTCTGTAATCCCTCCCCCTCCCCATTTTTGGTAAATTTTTATTCCCCATTCATTGATTGAGAAGGTTTTAATGATCTTTCCCACCATTGTCTGGTTGATATTTTCCCCTTGGATCCGGATCCAGTGAGCTTAAGTTGCGTTTATTGATTGATATATAGATCGGCACGTCAGATTCACAACGATACCTTTTAAAGCTTTGTCTGATCACAAAGGGTTACAGATAATTTCGCAAAAAAATCATTCAATCATCGGTCCCTAAAAGAAATAACAACCCGCTCACTTGGCAAAGAATTGCTGACCAGGAAAGTTTGTATCTAAATCTGTCCCTGCAACTAAAGAACTCCAGAGCGAACACGCTTCTTCCAGATTTTGAAACTTCTCATGTACCAAGGCCTAAAAAACAATAAAATAATATAAGTGATTTGTCTTCATTTTCATTTTAATAAAAATGTATATTTCTAAAACCGACCAAGCTTATATTTGCTTAATTCACTTCTAAAATAGATATTTATTAGCCGTCTAAAGATGTAACGGTTTAGAACGAAAATGACAGTTGTTCAAAACCTAGAGTGATAAGTTGGGTTGGAGAGAGTATATTACAATCATGAAATCATTGATCTGTTTAATAGAGTAAACCTTAACAAGTTTGCTAATGCTGTTGAATAGTTTCTACCTGAAAATGTTTCAAATTCCTGTTCTGAAGGAACTCTGTCAACTCCTCATAGTGTAGAACAATATTCTCCTGCAGGCAGAAGGTCATTAGGGAATTATAAAACAAATCCCGTTTATCAGTTTCGAACGAAAGTAACAATACTAGATAAGTCAGAACAAAAGTAACTTTTGTTAAAGAATGCTTCATAAAAAAAATCTTAAAAAACCTCGTTTCGAACAAATTAAAAAACATCTATTTATATAAGTAGTAATCCCTGTTTATCTGTTTGCCTCCAATTTTGATCTGGTTAACATGTGGAATGTCCTATTTGATGAGGGGGGTAGGGTGTCCTTGCATTTATTTTTGGTTCAAATCTTCTTAGTTTTTGACTGGACGGCTAATTTGTGTTCTTATTTCCAAAAATAAAATGAAATTGGACACTTAAAATGACCACTAATGAGCTGAAATGACTTAAAATGATCTCGACATATAAAAAATGGTTTAAATATGCATATCAAACGAAAGCTAGGAACCCAGGCAATACAGTAGCAGCAACGAATCCAGTGTTTAACCTTTCAATGACCTATAACGACCTAAAAACCTCCAAATTGAAAATGTGTTAACTATGGCTTTATGCATATCAAACAATAACTAGTAACCCATGCAATACTGTAGCATAAAATTTAGTAGAAGCTGGGTGCTGTTGTTCAATGAATAGGGCCAAATAATAATATTTTCACACGCCCCTTATGACCTCTGGCCTTGACAATTAATATTCACCCCCCCCCCCTTATAAAATTGAACTCCTGCCTTAGCAATAAACTCTGTGAATCTGTCAGCTGAGTTCTCGCTCTCAAGCTTAGCTAGAGCAGTAAACACCTCTTCAGCATGCTCAGGATAATTCTCATCCAGCTCAACTAAAATATTAACAATACCAATACCAATACCAATACCAAGGACAATGCCAATAACGACAACGACAACGACAACGACAACGACAACGACAACGATATGATAACGATAACAATAACTAAAGCGATTAAAAAATTTATAACAAAAACAACATTTTTAATAAAACAAAACAATAATAACGTGATCTACTATTTAATTTATTTTTATACAATTCCAGAATTGTTTTACTTATATACCAATCAAAACAATCTTGTCTAAATTTCATAGAAAAATTGTAATTGCTTATTTGCAATATCTTCTGAATTGTAGTGAAATAAGAAAAGATTTAAGAATATATGTATTAGTTTGCAAACGAAATAAAACGGATGGGCTTGGCTTGATAAAATCAAAACCACTCCTATTTTCGTGTGATGTGGTAAAATCAAACTTAAGTGGCACAACTATTTTTAATAAAAATAGGTTTAATGAAACATTAATCTTTTTTTCTAGATATTTCTGATATTATTAAAATTAATAATGATGTTTATTCTTTTTTTATATAGTATTAGAAAATTTATTAAAATTCGAACCATTTCATTAAAATCATTTAAACTCATTTTAATAAAACCAAAATCTAAACAATCGACCTCGAATTCAATCAATGAAAAAATTGCCATCTAGAAATGAACAATGAACATGTTGCTTGCTCCTAGCGTTCCGACCGGCAGTATTAAACTGTAACATGCAAACCTCACTCAAATAGGCCAGGGTGATGTAATAATTGAGTAGGTTCCATGAAGCATGCGGGTCGCAGAACCATGTAACAGTAACAGTAAAAGTGACAGTAACAGTAACAAACTTCTCTGGCGCGCGAACCTTACCCCACTCAGTTGGTGGACAACAGAACCAAATTCTATTTACGCTACTAAATGGATCAATAGCTACAACAACATTTTAGACAAACCCCTCGAAAAATGTAAAACTCTTTTGAACTAATTTCCAAAGAAACAACATGAACTGATTCCAATATTAATAATCCTACCTAGACCAATTAGATAGTCGAGTAAAAACTGTTGAACGGATGGTTCTCCATGTTTCGGGTTTATACTGGATATATCCGGTATATGATGGAGAGGAGGAGAGGAGGGAACAAACTGAGAACAAGAACTCAACAAACCTAAAAAATTTAAATGTTTTGAACCGTTTAACAACTAAACCTGGAGATAGGAAGAGTATCTCCCTGATATCCGTCCTACCGTATAACAACTATACCTGAATACAGGAAGAGTATCTCCCTGATATCCGTCCTACCGTTTAACAACTATACCTGGATATAGGAAGAGTATCTCCCTGATATCCGTCCTACCGTTTAACACAGGAAGAGTATCTCCCTGATATCCGTCCTACCGTTTAACAACTATACCTGGATATAGGAAGAGTATCTCCCTGATATCCGTCCTACCGTTTAACAACTATACCTGGATATAGGAAGAGTATCTCCCTGATATCCGTCCTACCGTATAACAACTATACCTGGATATAGGAAGAGAATCTCCCTGATATCCGTCCTACCAGACATCAAAAGTTCCGCTGCTTTACTCATCTCCCCTCGGTTTAAAGATATGAATCCTGCCCGCTGTCGTAGAATCCGTAGTTTATCTAAATATAAAATACTCACTGGAGTGCCCAGCATTGCCCGTGGAATATAAAAAAAAAATTGATGAAAATAAAATTTTAATTTTGAAAATGAAATTCCGTCTTAAAAAAGAAAATGTTCAGCCAATTAGCTCCAGCTGTTTGGCCAGCTATAGCTAACATATAAATATATATATATAGGCGAATAGCTTTTACTATATACTTTAAACATTATTTTAAATATTTGCCTCCACGGAGTATTTCCTTTTAGTCCAATAATTTTATGGATTAAATTGTCAACATCTAATTCCTCCAGATAAATATGTGAAGAAAGAAACTTCATAAATATCCAGTCTTTCCAAACCAACCTTGAATTATTTTCAGTTAATTTTTAAAACTTAAAATTCCACAAAAATGCATTAGAATTTTTACCGTCTGAAATTATTAAGAATAGAAAGAAAGTGGCCTTGTTTGTGTTAGTATAAATGAAAATAATATGCTATCTATTCAGTGCTTAGAATCGTTTTAATTTTGATGCGGATCCGGATCCTGGATCCACACTGGAAAAAAATGGATAGGGATCCGGATTCAAATCCGGATACGGATCCAGGTCATTTCTTTACTGATTTACTGAATATTTTTAACAAAAAATAATTTCCAATTTTTAGTTTTGTTTTTTCGCATATTTTTATCCTAAAACTAGATGAACTATTCAGATGAGGAAATTTTTATAATCTCTCTTTTAGTTTTTTCAAAAGTTTAGGTATGGGTTTTAGGATTAAAAAAGTTTTTTTTGGCAGTTTTTGGTTGATATTTTACCCCTTGGATCCGGATCCATGAATCCGCATATTTTTGCGGATCCGGGAAGCCACAATCTTGCGGATACAACGAATCCGGATCCAAAGCACTGAATTCTGTATCCTTTACTCTGGTTTCTGACCTAAAGACTGAATACTGAGGTTAGGTGTGGAGGATATAGAGGAGATGAGTTGGAGAACATCTTCAACGTTTTCTTGTTCCAGTAGATTCTCTGCTTGAACCTAACAACAAAGACTTTATCTTAAAGAATATCCTTCGTCCCCACTACACGCTCTTCATTTTTTTTTTTTGGGGGGGGGGGTTAATTTAAAAGAACATTGTATTCTATTTACAAAGACCAGCTTCCCACCAATAAGAACTGAGTATTAAGTTAGCAAATAATCCCTCCACCAATAACTAAGTCTGTTTAAAATATTTCTTCCACCAAAAAGAATAGAGTATTCTGTTTACAGAGATTATCTCCACCAATAAGAAGAGAGTATTCTGTTTACCTGCCAAGGGACTGGAAGAAGAGCGGATATCTGTGTAGAGCCCGCCAGGAGTATTGTTCCATCAAATGCTCCGATAGTTCTACCACCAGGAAAGGGAAGACCTTGTTTTAGCTTCTGATCGTTTATACTGTAGACCAGAACTGATTCAGGCGATAATCCTACAAATCAAATAATGTTACTTACCTCAAGCCCTTTTCTTTTTCTTTATTTTAACTGTTTTGTTCACTGTTACATTTTGAAGGGTAAAAGGGCCTATTTATTGAATACAATACTGCAATTTTAGATAATATTATTGAAGTGACAAAGAATGAACAATTTTGATAAAAAAGTAATTGGAATTTACCTATATTTGTGTTTTTACAGAAGTTTATAAAGTATAAAAAAATAATAAATAAAAAACAGTTTTTTCCCGACATTTTCCAGATTGAGGGGTAATTGTTGCAATAATATATTTATCAGTAGATATACCTATGACGTATGGGTATGAGTATATAATCCTATACAAGTTTGCAGTCCATTGTACAGGAGGTCGAACTGAGGTTCCAGCAGTTGTCACAAACATTCCAAGATTCCCTGGACCTGGATCATTTAATCATTAAATTAATGAATCACTCAATCAATGGTAAATCAATCATTCAATCAAAAATTTAAGTTTTCAATCAATCAAGCTCTAAATTACGCAATCAAACACCCACTTACTAATAAAATCGACTCAATTAATCGAATAAAAAGTTCATCCAATCCGATTTATTTTCATTTATAGGCTTTTCAGAAAACTTTATGAATGATAAATTATCTATAAATCCAAAAACATAATCAAAGAGGATTTCAAGTGACAAGCAAAGATGACAATGCCCGATTTATAACGGTAACATGAAATAAATTTATTAATCAATATTGTGGAAGATATTGTCGATTTTCTAGGTTTTAATGCGTTTATTTCTGATAATTCCTACTTGATTTCCAGCAGAAGATTTGCACAAGTCAATTTTGTGGGGGAAAATACAGTGAAAATTATCAGTTTTCAAAATTATTAAATTGATTTCTAGATTGTACTGACACAGATAAGGCCTTTAAGGGTACCATTGTGAATTGGACATTGCCATCTTTGCATAGTAGGTCACCTGAAATTAGGCTTATATAGTGCCCTTAACAGAGTGGGGATAAATACACACCCCTGAATAAATACCTGCCAACAGGAACTCCTGCTCCTGTATTCTGGTGATAGCGAGGGAAGGACTGTTCTCCTCTATTGGGAATAGATCAGTCACGTGACCCGTCTCCAAGTTTAGAATTATATATCTAGCAGATCTCCGTTGTAAAAACATCAAATTTTTTTTTAGAGAAAATATCAAAAATAATTATTTAGTTATTAGTTTAAACCCAAATTAAATAGTGCCTTTCTGTCTCGTGTTTTTTTGTCGTTTCCTAATCTTGGATCTTTTTCCAGGGATCTCCACGGTAAAAAACTGACATTAATTTGAAATTCACACAGGGTTTGTCTAAAGCTTTAAAAATGTTACTTTAAAACATTCTATTCTTAAATTCAGCACCAAAACCCTTGAAACAAAAACAGTCTTAACAAAAAGCGTATTCAGGGGGGGTCATTTCTTTACTGATTTACTG